TTGAGAGGTCCTGGAAGGCGATTTTCCTTTGAAACAAACCCTTTGATGGATTCCATCTTCGTGGACAGGAATCTTTGTTTGACAGCTCAAACATGTGGGTGCCTCGCCCAATCCTGAGGCCCATTCGGAGCCAGAGTATGAGCAACACCACGAGTACCCGGTGGTAAAGGTCGAAGAGATCGACTTTCGGCCAGAAAACTGTACTCCAGCCGTCCTTGCAGGAAATTGGGGGATTTTACGTAGTGCGTTCTATGCCAAAGGAATTCTCCCAAGTCATAAAGCAATAGGGTGGCCCAGCTGTATGTCGGAAGGAGCTGTTTCAGTTGGCTCAAAATAGGGGTATATACCTCGAAAATGGCTCGTGTTCCTTTAGTTTTCCTTTAAATCAACCTAAAAAGGGCACCATGTCTCCTGCTTACGGAGTACCTGTTGTGCCACGTCCATTCAGAGCGTCAAACGCACATCTGTTTTGCAGCCTCAAACTTGGACAAACTGAATCTGGTCTACTGCTGGTTTGGGGGGCTTCAGAATCTAGCAGGCATGGCAGCCTGGAAGTGGCAAATGGCCGACCATTCAAATCTGGAGGCCTGAAAGCTGGAGCCTTGATGCCCTTGATATCCGAAAATTGGAGCCTTCAAATCTGGAGGCCGGAGCGCCTGAACACCTGACAGTTGCACCTTGAAACTGGGACCCCTGAAATCTGGAGCCAGGGCCGAGTGGTCGCAAGGCGAACCCCAATTTGGACGGGTGATCGAAACGTGTGAGTGTGTTTTTTTGGGACCCCAAAATGAGGACTTTTCTGGTGGTTCCTTTAAAGTTGCAAAACTAAATGGGGTGCCCTCAAAGGACTCAACCAGGAAAAGAATCAGAAGGGCGGCCTGACTTATCCAACGGTAGGTAGGTTGGGACTGTCCCTTGCTATCCTTCACTTACCCGAGTTTTGATCGTGGCTTTCGAAGGCATCCCTACACCTTGCAACACACTGCTTTTTCCCAGAGGAACACTTTTCTTGGCCGCTTCGAGAGACACGACTCCAACAGAATGTTTTTACCCAGAGGAACGTCTTGGCCGCTTGCTCGAGAAAGAAAACACGTAGCGCTCATTGGCAACATTGAAGTGAACAAAATATGCCATGTCCTTGATTGAGCCCATTCACCTTTGGCGCACTCGCAGGTCAACAATGTGCTCTGACAATGACTCACCACCCTGCGCAAAGAGATCGCTATGAAATGAATCTTCACGGGTGATCTAGTTTTACCCCTTCTCGCTAAATTGCGGATTCTCGGGGGTTCCGCATTTTCCAACGCGCACCGACACCTGGTATGTTTTGTGCTCGCGGGGTAAAAGTTGAGGTAAGCAACACAGGCCTGAACATATATTTGCAGTCACCTGAGCACAGCTCAAACAGGAAGCTCAACGCGGCAGGATCGCTCCCAATAGCTTTAGTCTTCCTGTTTTGCAGCAGGCTTTCTTCCAGCCTAATCCAAGTCAATCAGAGGCTGAGTGGGGAGAAGTCGAGAGAGGGTGGAGAGTGGACTGCACCAGTCCAGTCGTGCAATCTCGGGACACTGCTTGAAAGAATTGGTTCAAGTCAGCTTGTTCCGGTTTGGAGAGCGCATGCGATGTCTCGAGTTGAGGAAGGTCTTTTTCGCCCAGGCGTCGGTTTCGACAGGGCTTACTACCATGTTAATTTGACGCCAGCTAACATCCAAAATCAGCTTAGAATTGCACCCGTTCTTTTCAAAGGGGGGGTCCACTTCTGGCAATATAGTTTCTGGGTTGTGCGAGGGTGTGTTGCCAACTTGTGGGTTTTCCTGTGGCTCTTTCCTTGCAAGGATCCTTGGACTATGGCACCCAGCGGGGAGAAGTCGATCCGCACCAATGTCGTCTGCTTCGCCCATGAGAGCCCTTGCACCAGGAACATCGAAGGCGATTGCTGCGACACCTCCGGCTGTTTGCTCGCGACTTGCCGGACACTTACTGCATGGGGTCAGCAGCAGAAGGGCGTTCCCCGAGTTGCTGGACGTTGCCTCTTTAGGATTGAAGCCTTTTGGTGGTAAACAAAACAATTGGACTTGTTCGCGTTCAATCTCGGGAGGGGAGCGGGACGCCCAGCAAATAGGGGTCAGCAACATCGTGTGCCCCAATGAAAAGACTGAGGACAGTAGAAGAAACATGAAGTTTACGATGTCTACTGGTTCTCAGCGTGGAATGAGTGAATGACCCCGGACTGAATCATTCCTGATGGTTTCCTCAACGGGGATCCATTGCTTTATTCCCAAAGCACCTCTTGTACCTGGAAAACCAAGGGGATCTCAATTTGAAATTATTTTGCATGTAAAGGTTTAGTACATATTATGGTTCAGAAACCAAGCGTTGTCTTAATTGGGGGCAGACGTTGTCGTAGTTGGGATCCAAGAGCATCTGGATATGGTGATTACTCATTGGCAGACTTAAATGACTGTTTTGTGCTTTTGCCCGTTTGGGTTTCCTTCATACTTCTTTTTGGCCAACAACAAGCAATCAGCGCACAAAACCCGCGTTGGCCATTTTAGTGGGTGAATCTACTACCGGGGGATAAGGCCTGCTGTAAACCAAGCCTGTGTCGCCAATTCAGAACTCAAAGTCAACGGGTTTTGGGCGTTCAAGTTAACTTTTTGCAAGCGGCCAGTTTTGGAGTAATTACTATGCACCGAAAAGCCATACACAACATGCGCACGCAAATCATGCCCAGCAAGTACTGTCACCGAGGTTTCAGACTGGTGCCACGTCAAATTCAGTCCCTTTTTGCCAGCATTGGGGCGGTCATGGATCCTTCAGAGAAATTCAACTTCCATTAAAAGAACTAAACCATGACCATGGCCTACACACGGTCAAAGGACCCTTTTGCTTGGGGTTCGCAATGGTCGTCAACCTTGAAGGAGTTTGGCCATTTTGTATTGCCAGGACTAATTTTCAGATTCCCAGTGCTTAGTTTAGTATTGCCAGATTAGACCCACCCAACAAGTACTCGACATTAAAGAAGACTCCCAAACAGTCATACTGGGAAGAGCTTGGTTTGATCAACCACCCCTTAACAGTACAAGGCAGAGGAATCAATTTTGGAGTTTTAGTAACCCCTCAAAAAGGTTGAACATTGAAGCGGTTCCCAAAACAGTCACATTAAACGGAATCAGAGCCTCTGGGCAACCTTCGTGTGGGCAACCCCCTTTGACGGCTTGCCCCTGTTCTTTTTGTAGAGACGTTATCTTAGATTTGATGGTTTGGGAACCACTTCGAAAAGGGATTTCCCAATGTTTGCCCGGATTTGTTTGGCCGACTTGTTTGGCACTTGTGTTGCGCGGTTGTTTTCTATCAAACAACTTGACATAAATCCTCAGCTGGCTTCAAGCGAAGGATCCGGAGATGCAGTGCCAGTTCAACTTCACCTCTTGCATCTCGAATCTTAGCGAGCCGCTTCAGCACGATGCTTGCCCTTTCCAGCTGCCCGACACCCTGTGTTGTGTCCCGTTTTTTGTTTTGAAGCAAAGAAGAAATCAGCAGCACCAAACAGGGGCCGGGTGTTTTTTTTTGCAAATGGCCACTGAGCTGAATGGCCACTGGGGATTAGTAAAGGGGTTCCCCCCGTGTGTGGACCGATGCAGGGGCAAGGGCCCCTGAGCAATAAGAGCACACGTTGGTCCCTTTGGAGCTATTTCCAAACAAAGAGGGTTGATAGGGAGGCTAAGGAGCCTTTGTTGAACGCATTAAAAATGTTAAAGTCGTCTGAGTGACAATGAAGGACACTCAGAAAGGTGTCCTTGTGTTTGCACCTTCTACGAAAAGTAGTGTTGTGCAAACCGACGCAGCCATCTCCGTATTGATCACTGCTTATTTTGTGACAGGTGCAGGTGCAGATGAAACTGTCCAATGAGCATTTTGAGACAACTAATTGACATGTGTGGCCACGAATTCAACCATGACATTCAGAGGTGGGACTCCCATCGAACTTGCCTTTGGTAGACGACCGGCCGATGTGGGAATGTTGATAAGCCCATCGAGCCGACCATGTCACTCATCAGGCCGTACGAATGATTGCACTAGATCAGGTTCTCCAAAACAGAGATGTAGGGGACAAGGATTGCTGGCAACTGGACCCAGCAAGATTCGTTTAGACAGCAGGAAAAGTGGAGGGGGTTTCATGGCGTGGCAGGGTTAGGCCTGAGTGAACAAGCCTTCTTTGATGACGTTGGCATTGGACCCAGCCGACATGAGCATCTCAGGCTCCGATTCAATGGGTTCCGAAAGGATGGTCACATCTTCCACAGGCTTGACGGTGGAATTTACGGGGCAACACTAAGGGATATGGCCCGGCATATATCCCGAATGCATGCTGACTTATGTCTCCACTGGATGGGAACCTTAGCACAAACAAATGAAGCAGAGAGAGGCTATGAACAACTTGACTTCTACCAAGCACTAAAAATCCAAGATGCTCCTGAATGGCACAGGCGCATGTGATACCACTGGCTTCTTCCACTCACAGTCAACATCAAAAAGATCAAGAAAGATCCCAAGATTCCACAGGTGTACAACGAGAAGGGGAAGAAGGAACACACAAGTGGCAGAATACTCGCCACACTCCACTTCGCGACCAAGAACGGACGACAGCCAAGGGTCTCACGATACCAAAGATGCCGCTTCGAGGAGTTCCTTTCATGGACGCCTCCTAAATATGATGCCTCTTTGGTTTTAGAGCGTACCCTTTCCAGACTCGAGAAAACACCAGTGTAACGTTCGTGGCACGTGCACAATGCTTGGATGTGGAAGGTCCCAAGAAATGCGTGTCTGCTTTGTTCTGCTTTCGCATCGTGTTGACCTTCCAGCAACCATGTACATCTTGACGCCATATTTGGCTCAAGGCCTTTCATGACTCAACCTCACCATGGTCGACGAAAGTCCGCTCCCCGAATACTTCAGAACGCGTTCCACTTGCTCGTGAAGGGGTCAGCTAACTTACCTGCGAAACGCGCCCACCTTGGTTTGGCCTTCTGGCAAAGCTGATACGTTTCCAAAACCGGGAGACTGCCATGTGATACTGCTTGAGATGTAGCTTTGTCAACTCGTCTTAGACCAAGTGGAAGCGAGACGTGACACGTGGCTCAGGATGCGCCTCCGACAGTGTGAAGCTTATCGTCAGAAGTTTTCCTGGTCTCCTGACGTCTTGAGGAACGGGCTGGCTTCCTCACTGAAGGGATTGAGAAGTCAGAGTCGGCCTCATCTTCAACCTCTCCTCCAGCGCAGACCTGCAAGGCTTAAAAATCCTAACCAGATTTCGGGAACCCTGGCTGAAAAGTCTTGTTGTTCCTGCCACTTAACCTTGTCTTGTGGCACACGTCTCACATATCTGTGCTTGACGATGACTGGTGGGTACTGGAAGTTTCGTAGGGTAGTAAAACACCGGAGAATGTGCGGCCCCTTGGTCCTGTGCTGAAAGCGCCAGGGTAATTTCATGTCGGCGCCATCAACGCAGTTTTATTGATGCCGAACCATGGACCGGTCACGAGGCCGCCCAGCGGTGCATGCGTAGTTGTCGTTCGGATGTTTCCGATTTGTTTCACACTGAAGAGAGTTATGGAAGGATGTCAACACTGGTTAAGACCTTCTGAGAAAGGTCATTGCAAGCCTTTCCTTGATAACTGCTGCCTTGCTGTTGACGAACGCAAACTTCCAATGGGTCGGCTCATGGTTGGTTCATAGCGGAAATTAATAGCCTGCTTGCTACTGACATGCGCTGACGAGTCGATCAACGGCATATGTACTTTCCGCGTGCTCAGCCGGAAACCAGAATCACATAAGTCGGATGGTGTCCCAGGTATATTCGGATGAGAAAGCAAGCAACCACCCAAGTCGCCAAGGCAAACTAGACATAGGCGACGATGCTGACGGAACACCTGCTGATGCGCAAGGGCGTTCCGTTCGCTTGCTGCGCTAGTGCTGTGCACTTGCATGCCCGCTCGGTAACACGGATGCTAGCCATGCTCAATTTTCTGGTACCCAGTCGTACCAATTTCTGCAGACCTGCGAGTGTGCCGGCGTGGGCGTCTTTTGTTTTGTCCTTGTCCAGTTGCCGTCGTGCGCATCTGTGCGTTGGGGTCTGCTTGATATTCATCTGAGCTTCTTTTGCTGCGCCCTTGTCTTTCGCCCCATCGCGTTGTTTTTTTCTCCTGTTCCTTTTCCTCTCCCCTTTTCCCTTGCCGTTGAATGTTCTTCCGCTCGTTCGGCTCAGGCTAAGGCTTGCTTCCGGCAGTGAAGCCTTCCACAGCTGGTGCATCTGGTCTTCGTAGGTTCCAGGCTCTCTGAAGCAGCTTCGATCTCCTTCGCGAGATCCGAGAAATGGGTCGGCCATGCGTGAGGGTGCGGAAAATTGGTTCAAGAACTATTGCTCACCTGCTGGGGGGTGTGCTGGCGTGTCAACGCCTCTTATTCTCAAGGAAGAAGCCGTTCTGTTTGGGACTCAGTCAGGTCTGCCTGAACAAACATCCACGCAGCTGCGGTGTGGATCTCACGTGTGGGTGCTGGTCCTGGTCGTTGGCATCCTTGTCCTGGTAGAGTGCCATCCACCCACTCAGACTCGCTGAGCCACGATCTCGAAGCGTCCAACACACTGTACACTATCATGCCGCACAGTGTCCCTCAAGTATTTGACCCCGTTGTCAAGGTTTCGGAGCTCCTGGTTCAACATCGTCTTGTACATTTCTGCCGCGCCATGCAACTGATGATTCTTGAGGAGGATGGCCGCCGAAGGCTGGACGAATCTTGGGTGTTGTTGCTGGTTGGTGGAATGCTGGCTGCTGAGCCGGTCGCCAACTTGGGTTCTGGAACCTCCTTATCATCACGTCTGTCAAACTTGATAGTAGACGAATTATATCAGTTGTTTCTGCTATTGCATGCAAATGGCAAAACCCGCGGCAGTCCGCTAGTGTGGTAACTTGCGAGCAAACACTGGCTCCGCTACCGCTTTGTGGCGCAAACTGGGCTCAAAGGGCCTGATAGAATTCGCATGAGGAGATGTGTTTTTGCATGTTGCGCGTTTGTCGCCCCTTGTGGGGCCCAACGCCATCGTCTCCCCAAACGAACCCCACGTCAACGCCCGGCGAAACGGTCCCTGGACCCTGACCGGGCTGAATTCAAAAGGCATATGGTTCAATCCCAGGGCCTCAGGGAACAATTGCGTGCCCATGCGAATTTGCGATTTTTCTGGGTTCAGACCTCTGCGATTGGCAAGTGTTCCTTTGGAAAGTCCGCGGGTTGGCAGTTTTCGACTCAGGAAGTTATGATTTAGTTGTTGTGAAACAGGCGCCTGGCAGTTCCATGAGGTTCTCATGTGGTGCCCTCCTGCATTTTGGAGGTGTTTGAAATTTGCGCGGGGCATCGATTCTTGGCCCATGCCTTCCACTCTGGCTTGGTCGGACATGTGCTTGTTCGAGTTCGTTTTGGCATGGTTCACGGTGTTTGTTTCCAAAGAAACAATCCCAGAGTGGCAGGTGATTAGTGTAGAATCCTTATTCGACTTCACATGTAAAGGGTCTACTCACTGAATTGCGTCTGAAGCCCTTATAAACATCACAAGTTGCTGGTTTCCCTTTCTAACCCCAAACCCCTCAAGACATCCTTCAAGGAGGTTGCTCCATACCGGTTGTATATTTTAGGGTTCTAATTTCTCTGGACACCAGATAAATGAAGCTAGAAAGCCCGTTTTTAATTTCTATACGCACCTTGGTTTTCTTGCTTCGCTTTACCCATCCGGGTACTTAGATGGCCATGAGGTGAGGGTCAAAACTAAACCACCAGAAAACCACTTTAGTCCTTTCCATTTGGCCGTGGGTCAAAACCAATGGTGGGGTAGGTGCACCACCCATTTTAGTCTATTTTAGTGGTTGGATTGGGATGTTCACTGGAGGCTAACCGGGCTTTTGACCCATGGCCATTCCCCGCTCGGGCCACCCATTTGGACCTATCTTTGACCCAGGTATGGCGTACTGCATGCCCGACACGGCGGCTCCCCTCTCGCCTGTCGCTGAGAAGCTCGCGGGCCTCTTCGCGGGCGTCTCCACGAGCCTTCGGGTGGCCTACGACGAGGAAACCCGCCAGGAGCGGAGTCAGGTCTGCGATTCAGCGCAGACCTGGCGGGGGGGGGGGAAGGGGTTAGGGACGCTGCGCCAGATATACCGTTATACCAGTACAGCCGGCGAAGCCGGTGTGGCATGTGTTTCTTTGTTTCGCTCTTTCTTTCTTTCTTTCTTTCATTCTGTCTTTCAGTCCTTCTGCCATTTTTTCTTTCTGTCATTTGTTTCCTTTCTTTCTTTCTTTCTTTCTTTCTTTCTTTCATTCTGTCTTTCAGTCCTTCTGCCATTTTTTCTTTCTGTCATTTGTTTCCTTTCTTTCTTTCTTTCTTTCTTTCTTTCTTTCTTTCTTTCATTCTGTCTTTCAGTCCTTCTGCCATTTTTTCTTTCTGTCATTTGTTTCCTTTCTTTCTTTCTTTCTTTCTTTCATTCTTTCTTTCTTTCATTCTGTCTTTCAGTCCTTCTGCCATTTTTTCTTTCTGTCATTTGTTTCCTTTCTTTCTTTCTTTCTTTCTTTCTTTCTTTCTTTCTTTCTTTCTTTCTTTCTTTCTTTCTCCTCTCCCGATTTTTTCCCTTTGACTTTGGGGGGGTCTCAAAGTGCCCTGGCTGACCCAGAGCAAAGTTCCCAGAGCAAAGTCAATCAAGGTATCGCCCTGCCGCCAGAGAGTATCTTTGGCCTCAACACGCTGTGCGCAAAAGACAATGCGACTTTCAGAAGCCAACCCCAAAATAACAGCGGGAGTCAAAACAGGAGGAGTGAAAACAGGGATCGCCCTACCGTAAGGGTGCATTTCTGTGTAAGACAATGCGACTTTCAGAAACCAACCCCAAACTAACAGGGGGAGTCAATGCAGGGGGAGTCAAAACAGGGATCGCCTTACCGTAAGAGTGTATCTTTGGCCTCAACACATTGTGTGCAAAAGATAGTTCCATGCGACTTTCAGAATTCGAGTGGCTCCGGATACAACCCCAAACTAACAGCGGGGAACCAAAACAGGCAAAGTCAAGACACGGACCGCCCCACCAAACGCGCCCTTTTGCTGCATCGCTCACTGCCTGGCACTGGCACTGACACTGACTGCACTGGCACTTGGCACTGACTGCACTGGCATTGATTGCACTGGCACTGACTGCGCACTTGCGCTGGCAAGGATGAGAGAGCGGCCTGTACTGGCGTGCCATCTCATCTGGACGGAGGCGGCGCAGCACTTTGTCAAGACTGATCTCTAGTTTGGTTCTTATGCCAGCATCTGGACCTGCTGATCTGGACCTGCTCCAACTGCACTGACACGCCTAGACGTGTTGCATCTTTCTTCAGGTTTGCAATCTAGTACCTGCACTGGCGCGCCCGGTGACCTGAATTGGCGCACCGGACAAGAGCATCAAGGAGACCCCACGCGAGGCACAATTTTCCAGAGTTGTGCTTGAAAGCAAGCCAGAGACGGCTGGTGATTATCCTCAAAGACTGACAGCCCACTGCAGTTTGGCTCCGGCTGCGGCCTCATCTAACATCAAATCGTTGGCGTCGTGCGTGGGGCAGCCGGTCCACAAGCTCGTAGGCTCCTGACAGACCTGCCCGACGGCGTCCACGGCGACGTCAGCAAGCTTGACAAGCAGCGCTCCGGGCCGGCAGAAATCTGCAGACAGCTGCAGCAGAGGCTTCGTCGTGCTGACAAATGTCGCGGGCTGCGGCTGAGCAAAAACTACTTCGACTCTCACCCGCGCCGGCCGTTTTCGTAACTCTTGTCTCGGCGCAGCACGGTCCGCAAGCGCCAGCTCGTGAGCTCGTCTTCGCTTCTCTTCCCTTCCCTCGCTTTTTCTCTCCTCTCGTTTCTTCTCTTCTCTTTTCTCTTCTTATCACTTTCCTTAGATCTTCTCTTTTCTTATCTTCTCTTCTCTTTCTCTCATCTTCTCTGATATTATCTTATCTTCTCGTCTCGTGTACTGCTGTCTTTGTTTCCTTCTTTCTCTCTTAGTATATTTCGTTCTGTCTTGCTTTCTTTTTTTCTTGTTTTTCTTCTTTCTTTCTTTCTGTTTTTCCTTTATTTTTGTTCCTTTCTTTCTTTCTCTCTCTGTCTCTCTCTCTCTCTCTTTGTGCCTTTCTTTCTTTCTTTGTCATTCCTTAATTTATCTGTCTTTCTTTCTTTCTTTCTTTCATTCTTTCATTCATTCTTTCATTTGTTCTCACTTTCTCATTTTCTCTCCTTTCTGTCTTTCAGTACGTATCTGTTTTTTTTCTTTCTTCCTTTTTTATTCCTCAAACTATTTCTTTCTTCTTACTTACTTACTTTCTTTCCTTCTTTCCTTCTTTCTTTCGGCACTTTCTCTCCTTTTACCTAACAGTCTATCTATCTCTCTATCTATCTATCTATCTACAAATCTGTCGCCAGACCTAGCGAAAATGTTGCGCCCGTCACCAAATCTGTACTTGACTCATCTATCTGTCAATCTAACACCTGGCCTTGCGAGAATGCTGCGCCTGCCACGAAATCTGCACCCCAGCCTGCCAAAGTGCTGCGCCTGCCACGCGATTTACCACCTCCGTCTCTGTCTTTTTCTCTCTCTCTCTCTCTCTCTCTGTCTCTCTCTCTCTCTCTCTCTCTCTCTCTTCCCATTTGATCTATGTATTTATCTGTCTATCTTTCCATCGATCTATCACCACCTGACCTTGCGAAAGTGCTGCGCCTGCCACGTCACCTGTACTCTACCTTGCAAAAGTGCTGCGCCTGTCACGAAATCTGCACTTAACCTAGCATGGTTACTGCCAAAGTGCTGCGCCTACCACGCGATTTGCACCTCCGAAACAGTCTGCGCGGCCTTGCCATTGGGGAACTTTTCGAAACCATGGCGAGACCGTGCCGAGACCGCGCGCTGAACATGGTACCCTTCGCGATTCGGTCGGGCTCTATCTTCTGATTCTGCTTTATCGCGGGAGTGCGCATCTGCTTGATCAACTTGTCGTATTACGGCAGTTTGCTATCTAAACTTTTTTTGATAATTACATATTCTGTTATGTAGAATGGATGAATAAATTGAGTGGATGTCATATTCATGTGTAGATTCCCAAATCAGGGGTTTATTCACGGGCCAGCCTGGCCGCATGCAATGGCGCCGCCTTCCTGCGGATTACCTGTTGTTCCGGCTCCTTGAAACAAAGCTTGGCCCAAGTCCTCTGGGAACAAAAGGATCCCTGATTCCTTGATAGATATGTTCAAGAGGCGTTTGGTTTCTTTCAACTGGAAGCATGCTTGTACGCGCATGAAAAAAACGAGTGCCTACGCACCAGGCAATAGATTCGGTTATGACCCATAGTAGGAAACCACATTTATTTACATCTACATTACTTTAGAGCCTCCGGCTCAGCCCGCCGACATTGTCCTCTCCCTTTTCTCCTTCTTCCTCTCTTCCTTGTCTCCCTTGTGTGTTCTGTCGTCCTCTCTCCCTCCCTCTGCTCCCATCCTCCCCATCCCCCCAAGCCTCTCTCTCCAATCTCCCTCTCTCGTATGTATGTATGTATGTGTATGTATGTATGTATGTATGTATGTATGTATGTATGTATGTATGTATGTATGTATGTATGTATGTATGTATGTATGTATGTATGTATGTATGTATGTATGTATGTATGTATGTATGTATGTATGTATGTATGTATGTATGTATGTATGTATGTATGTATGTATGTATGTATGTATGTATGTATGTATGTATGTATGTATGTATGTATGTATGTATGTATGTATGTATGTATGTATGTAATGTATGTATGTATGTATGTATGTATGTATGTATGTATGTATGTATGTATGTATGTATGTATGTATGTAATGTGTGTAAGTGTATGTATGTATGTATGTATGCATGTATGTATGTATGTGTATGTATGTATGTATGTATGTATGTAATGTATGTATGTGTATGTGTATGTATGTAGTATGTATGTATGTATGTATGTATGTATATGTATGTATGTATGTATGTATGTATGTATGTATGTATGTATGTATGTATGTATGTAATGTATGTATGTACGTACGTACGTACGTATGTATGTATGTATGTATGTATGTATGTATGTATGTATGTATGTATGTATGTATGTATGTAATGTATGTATGTATGTATGTATGTATGTATGTATGTATGAATGTATGTATGTATGTATGTATGTAATGTATGTATGTAATGTATGTATGTATGTATGTGTATGTAATGTAATGTAATGTAATGTAATGTAATGTAATGTAATGTAATGTAATGTAATGTAATGTATGTGTAATGTATGTATGTATGTAATGTATGTATGTATGTATGTATGTATGTATGTATGTATGTATGTATGTATGTGATGTAATGTAATGTAATGTAATGTAATGTAATGTAATGTGTAATGTAATGTATGTAATGTAATGTAATGTAATGGAATGCATGTATGTATGTATGTAATGTAATGTAATGTAATGTAATGTAATGTAATGTAATGTAATGTAATGTAATGTAATGTAATGTAATGTAATGTAATGTAATGTAATGTAATGTAATGTATGTATGTATGTAATGTATGTATGTATGTATGTATGTATGTATGTATGTATGTATGTATGTATGTATGTATGTATGTATGTATGTATGTATGTATGTATGTATGTATGTATGTATGTATGTATGTATGTATGTATGTATGTATGTATGTATGTATGTATGTATGTATGTATGTATGTATGTATGTATGTATGTATGTATGTATGTATGTATGTATGTATGTATGTATGTATGTATGTATGTATGTATGTATGTATGTATGTATGTATGTATGTATGTATGTATGTATGTATGTATGTATGTATGTATGTATGTATGTATGTATGTAATGTATGTATGTATGTATGTATGTATGTATGTATGTATGTATGTATGTATGTATGTATGTATGTATGTATGTATGTATGTATGTATGTATGTATGTATGTATGTATGTATGTATGTATGTATGTATGTATGTATGTATGTATGTATGTATGTAATGTATGTATGTATGTATGTATGTATGTATGTATGTATGTATGTATGTATGTATGTATGTATGTATGTATGTATGTATGTATGTATGTATGTATGTATGTATGTATGTATGTATGTATGTATGTATGTATGTATGTAATGTATGTAATGTATGTAATGTATGTAATGTAATGTATGTAATGTAATGTATGTATGTATGTATGTATGTATGTATGTATGTAATGTAATGTATGTATGTATGTATGTAATGTATGTATGTATGTATGTATGTATGTATGTATGTATGTATGTATGTATGTATGTATGTATGTATGTATGTATGTATGTATGTATGTATGTATGTATGTATGTATGTATGTATGTATGTATGTATGTATGTATGTATGTATGTATGTATGTATGTATGTATGTATGTATGTATGTATGTATGTATGTATGTATGTATGTATGTATGTATGTATGTATGTATGTATGTATGTATGTATGTATGTATGTATGTATGTATGTATGTATGTATGTATGTATGTATGTATGTATGTATGTATGTATGTATGTATGTATGTATGTATGTATGTATGTATGTATGTATGTATGTATGTATGTATGTATGTATGTATGTATGTATGTATGTATGTATGTATGTATGTATGTATGTATGTATGTATGTATGTATGTATGTATGTATGTATGTATGTATGTATGTATGTATGTATGTATGTATGTATGTATGTATGTGTGCATGCATGCATGCATGCATGCATGCTTACACACATGTATGCATGTATGTACGTATGTATGTAATGTATGTATGTATGTAATGTCAGGTAATGTCATGCAATGTAATGTGTTGTAATGTAATGTACTGTAATGTATGTATGTATGATTGTATCCTTGCACTTCCCCTTTGCTCCGGAGTATTTCCCGCAAAAAAAACACGGTTTTCCAGCGTTTTCGCAAAGAGGACGTCCAAAAACATTGAGTTTTTCCAGATTTTCGGAAAAAGGATGCAGGAAGCCCAAGCCAGCAAAATTGCCGGCAGGGGGAATCGAGCCTGGGACCCCTGTTTTGCGACACCGGCTCCCCGAAGACTACGTTTAGTGGAACGTCATCAAATTGCCGCGCGGTACGTGGGGGACCCCCCCCCCTCCCCCCCAAAAACCTACGTAATAGACGTCGGGCGGGGGGGGGTTAGGGGGGGGGTTATCCTCTATCCTCTAGTAAGTATCCGACACGCCGAGCAATGTCGGCGGATATATTCACATGAGAGATGCCCTTCTATTTAAGTTCCACAACCCAAACACCTTTCCTCCTTTAGCTTGGTTCTAAGGCTTGTAATGTGAGGGGCGAGACACATTCTCCTATGATCGGACTTACTTTGCTTTTCACGTGCCTCACTGCCTTACAACCCCTTCCTAATTGTTTCGGGCCGCAAAGCAAAGCGACAGTGGCCACCCCCTGATGCGTGTTCTGCTTCTTTCCTTAGCACAAATTCCAGGGTCTCCCGGGATTGATGGATCACATGCACTTTTCCCACTGTTTCAAAGCCAAGGCGAGGATGGAAATCCTTGGCCACTGAGTCCGTATGCGACTTTGCACCTCTAAATAGGGGTTGGTCTATATTCTGTTCGGCCCTCAACTGACCTTGGGGTGACTCATAGAATATCATCTCCTTCCAATGGTCATCCCATGTATCAGGGACCTTGTGATCAACCCCAAATGAGCCACAATCAAAACACGGGTAGATGAAGGTTAGCAAGGGGCAGGCCCAGCCGGAAATAGTTTCCATGCCTTGCGTGGTTCTTGGTTCGCCATTTTTGTGCCAGGTTTTGATTATGACTCAAATAAGAAGTGGAACCAAGAAACACATCCTGCATGGCTGTTCTTCGCTTTTCCCCCGAATCGCTAAGCAACCGCCACTACGGAATTGTTCCAAAGCCCAGAAGGCCCCATTCTGGGCTCCAGGAGCTCATGCACATGCTGCCGCCGTTGGGGATGCGCTACGGTGACATCACCCACATGTGCCTAGAGCAAAACAAACTTTCTATATGTCTTGGAACATATGTTTTTTGTTTGCAATGTTTTGGTTTTTGCCTCGCAGAAAGCTGAACAGCCGTTTTTTGGTTCTGACTCAGATTTGGGCCAGGTTGTGTGTCCGCCAAAACTAGTTTTTCTCGTTTGGCGCTGGCTTAGGTTTTCTCCAACTTTTGTTCCGGGAAAAGCAACACATTTCCATGATTGGTCCGGACTCATATTTTTTTCAGCTGCTTTCTTCTACAAACCATGTTGTTGGTTCTGACTCGCTTTTTTTTCAGGCAAACCGTGCATTTCTGCACACACTTGCTTCCAGCTTTAGTCTGATAAGAACCGTTTCGTTTTGGTTTCCGACACGGATTTTGTCTAGCTGTTGCCTAAAACAACGCATTGTTTGGATTGATTTGTCTGACTTGTTTCCAAAACGAGAGTAATATTCGATTGGCTCTGGCCCTGAGCAACATCATGCTTTGGTGTCCTGCCTGAGACGGTTGTTTGATTCAGATGTTTCCCGCTGTGTTCTTTTTCTCCCCAGAGAAAAAAGTGTGTGTCCTTGTTTTGGTCCTGGTATTGTCCAGCTTGATTCTCCTACTAATCAATCTGTTGTCCGTTTCTGACTCAGTCTCGTGCAGCTCTGGCACTGAATCAACGAGGGTTACGCTTTGACTCAGATTCTACCAGGTTTTTCCACAAGCACCAAGTTTATTTTTTTGGCTCTGACTCCATTTTCTTACTTGTAAACTACTTTTTTGGTTGGGTTATCAGATTCTGTCCAACAACTTTTCCGGCAAAAGTAAACACACACACACACAACTGGTCTTGTTTTTGTCGTTTTTCTCCAGATGCCTCCAATGTCTCAACCCATTGTCACTTGAACATTTGCGTGCGTCTTTCTTTAAGAATCAAAGCCGGTTTCATCAAGCTACACAAAAGGAGTACTTTCGGATGCGGTTTCAGGTACCATGCCTTGGCCACTGGTGGGATGAATAAACAGTTTCCCTGGCAGTGTAGAAGCCCTTTTCCAGGGAGGCTGTTCATTTCAGTGGGAAGGCAACCCCAGGTCGGCCATGACGTTCCACCACCTCCCCGCGACTTACCTTGGGAGCCCTCCGGCGCTGGCGCTGGCGGACCTCGTGAGCCCCGCAGAGAGGGACGATGGGCGCTGGGGTGCTTGGGGTTGTTTTGTGGACCGATTCGAGGCGGGGGTAGACTCCCAGTTTCCCAGTAGTACCCCTTGTTTTTGTTTTTTTCTTGGAAATGGTGCCTCTTCAAAGTCCACCAACCAAGAAGGATGCTCTTTTTCTCCCATGGCCGCTGCGCATCTGAGAAGTTCAGCCAAGCATGTTGTTTCATATTGGTGTCCGATGTCAGTGAGTGGAGCATGTTGCTTCATTTTTTTTGCTGGAAGGGGGGGGGGACAGCTTTGAACTAAACTACCAACCCTGACGGGTGCTCTCCTTTTCCCGTGGAGGTTTCCTGGATGTGAAGGGAACACCAACAGAACTTGAGGTATGATCGAAAGGGAAACCAAAAGGGAAACCGCCGATACGTTTGTTTTGCGATATTCACAGAACGCTTCTCATGTTTGTCTTTCTTGGGGGATCTCTTTTATTTATGCAATTGATGCACGATAGCGAGACACACCAACTTCCGACGACACTGTTCTTTGGCAAGCAGAGAGACCAAACTTATGGGCCTTGTTTGAAAATAATGTATGGGCAGGCAAAGTAAGAAACTGCACCGATGTCATTGCTTTGGTTGACACTTTTCTGAGGATTGCAAGTAGAAAGAGACGTCCTGCAATTCACAATATGATGCAAGGGTCGGTGTATGGCTTATTTGGGCGGTCACCATTTCTCCACAACAAGCAGAGACTCACCAAAACTGCCATGTTTGTCTCAGGGAAAGAATCTATTTGACCGTGGCTCATGTGAATGGCAGTGTTTCCACGGAGAGCCTGTCCTCCATTTCGTGTTTTTTCGCTCGGTTCAAGGGAGCGCCTGTATGTTGCCAGGTGTGACTGGACTGTTTGGGGATTAGCTCGCTGGCAACTGGTGGCTTAGGAATGTGTTGGATGGTATTGAGTCCTTTGAGTCGCTGGAGCTGCTCGGGCTGCCGGTGAAGGCGAATGGGCGAGGGTTGAGCAAAGCGTGTTTCAACAACCCCTTGACTTTGCGTGGAAACTACTTGAGATTGTCAAACAGATCGGTGTTTTGACCTGGATCGTGGGCACACTCTGGGCTGTTCAAGATCAATCCTGAAGTTTTGTGCCCGACGGTAGTGGCTTTCCTTGCTATGGTGGTGTCCCGCTACAGACTCTGAATTGGGATTCGCCAATTAGCCCCTGATTTCGACCAAAGCCAGGCTCTACCACAGACGCACAGTGCCGAATTGGCCTCTAAGGGGGAACCAAACATGGTTTCAAATTCTGAGAAAGAAATCCTCACTGTTGGGATTTCATGGTATGACAGGCCTGAGGCTTGTTTTCGCGGGAGGCCAGGCTGGTCCGTGGACGCAAAACGATGTTGCAATGCCAGACAGGCCTTTGAACAAGATGCGCCGGATTGAGTTGCATTTGTTGAATCAGTGTGCTTGTTTCTCAGGCCGCAATATCTAGCTCGAATGCCTCGGCACTCTAGAGAAAGGTAGTTGCAAATAGACTCACGTTCGCCATACCAGTGGGGTGGATGCGGGGATAGCGCCTTGAGTGTTGGCCCATTCTTTTAAGAATTGGGTCCCACTCTTTGAAACTGTCACGTGGAAATATAGTCGTATCTCATTTGCTTGGCCGAAATCACCTTTCCAGCTTTTAAAAACGACTGCTTCTCCTCTTGAAGCTTGTTGTGGAGGGTAAAAGGCCGATCTCGTCTTGTTTGGTTACCATGTAATTTTTCGTGAGAGAGTGAGAGAGAGAGTGTTTCACGAGTTGAAGGTCTCAACCACGTGCTGAAGTACAGAACATTCGCCCAGATGTTACGCCTGAATTGGCATCCGATTTGGGATTACATCTCGCTCTCTCTCTCTCTCTCTCTCTCTCTCGCAGCTGAGTGGCGGACAAAGTCAAGTCTGCCAAGCTGAGCGCTCTGAACACAACTAAAGAGGCCCTTGCCTGCCGTCCTCCTCCTTTTGGGAGTGGAGGCATTGACCCAGCGCAGGTCGTATGGTGGTAACCGAGGTGTAAGCCCAACAACACCCCAAAGGCACCAGCCCCTGACCTGCGAGTACCCTGTCAATGCTTGGATGCTCTGTTGCCAAGGATCGTCGCATTGCCCTCCAGCAACGTTTGCAACCGCTGAAGTCCGCCCTTGGGCGCTCTGAATGTCTCTTCCCCGCCCTGGGCTTTGAAGCCTTGACAAAAAGGCGTCAGCGACCGGCCGGAGCTTCTCTGTGGTCGTCAAGTGCATCTTCACTTGCTTTCCTCCGTAGGCAGGCGCAACTCGGTAGAGAACATCTTTCAGGAGCTTCTCTGGGGAGTCAATCTCTGCGGCATGCTCACAGGCCTTGTCTTTGCAGTGAGCTGCATTGCGGCCTCGACTGTCACCGCTGCCTACCAATGCACGTGCGGCGGTCCATACTCATGGTTCTTCCCAGCAGCCTGCACAAGCTCATTGTATTTTTTGGCTTTTACCACGAAGGAAGCTTGCGCCGGAATGAGGCATATGGGGAAGGTGGGACTGCAAGGCCCTCAGCCGACAGCTTCTTGGACTTCATGAGCAGCTGCATCGCTCTTCTTGGTCGCCGCCCACTTGCCTCCTCTTCATGGCCAGCCCGCCTGTGCTGGCTTTGGCTGCCCGCTTGTCCCTGAAGCAAAACTCCAGCGCCGCAAGGCCGAGCTTGTCACTGCAATTGAGACCCCAAATGCTGCTCCAGGTGATCATGCAAGGAAGCGCGTGTTGGGCACTGCGTGTCACACATGGTTCAAGACAAAAAATGACAGGCGCAGTCGGCTGTCTGTTGGTAATGCTGGATCTGCCACTACAGCACTATGACCGAAGGCTTGCTGAACATGCCTGCGAGTGGAATACAGGTTGGCAAACACTCCCGTGGAGAACAAGCACTGGTGCGTGACAGCAAGCTGCTGTTCCAAGCTACGCTGCCCCATTGCCCCTGTCCCCGTAAACATGTCTGATGTAAGTTCTTTGTGTGTGGGAAACATTACTCCCGCAGTGTGCTGCGTCTTGTAGCAAGAGTTCGCAGACATGCAGGTCTGTTTCCCAACAATCCAACACTTGTGGCTTCGCCAGAGAAAAGTCGCAAGGGCTTGCCATCCATCGCTTCTGGCACATGCGCTGTTTCTGGAATCTCTCGCAAACCTTCCACATCTTCCACCAGTTGCGACAGCCATGCAAAAGCAGTCTCCGACAAGGATCCGTCAGCCTGCAGCAATGCCTGCTTTCAAATCTGCATTTCCCAAATATGACAGCAGACAAGGTTGAGTGGAGGTGTGGGCGGGCCACTTGCCAGTAAAACCAGCGGATGCGCATCTCCGAGCTGCCGGCCAGCCGGAGATAGCAGTGATGACCGATCCGTCTGGATGCGTTGCGGCAAGCCGCCTGAGACGTCTTCCTTTTCCGGCTTCCATGCTCGCCCAAGCTACCTATACCTTGCTAAAAACGTGCCTTGCTGATGGCCGCCAGGTAGCGCGGCGGCTGCCCTCCGTCCCTGTGTTGCCTGAGTACACACTCCCTCCGCATGCGCTCGTGTGAACCCTTGCCAGAGAAATGCACCACCACCTCTTGTTCACCGCGGTTTTGCGCCAGCCCTCCCTCTGAAAGAACTCTGCGCAGCGCATCGTCTAGTTGCTCGCCCTTGGCTTGCAAAGCCTGTGGCATGCAGTTAATGACCTTGCGTGCCAGATCATCCTCGTACGTGGATATGGAAGCATGAACGATATTCCATATAAAGATGTTCACATGCAAATAGCATAAAGCCTTCATGTACATAGACTATGTATACATTATTTATATATATATATGCACGGAAACCATCGGGCACCATTCTCGGGTACGTTGGCCCCCAAGAGGCAAAGATGACCATGACCTCCGAGAGCAGCCCCTTCCCATTGCTTGCAAAGCTTCTCGGCCGCATAAAATGCGCCGCGACTCGGCCGCCGCTGCAGACTTGTCTCCAGAGAATCCAGCCGTGGGGTTGAATTTGCCAGCATATTGCCCTTTTTGGGTGGCCCTCTTTTGGGTTGGTCTTAACGGAAAACCACCATGTTGGACAATTGCGTCCCCAAACAGATGTACACACCCAAGTACTACCCAACTATATAACGATCGGGGATAAAATGAACTGACCCGCAATGAAGGTCCTGGAAATTCCTGACACTGTGCGTGTGTCCCAAATGTGTCGGGCCGCACACGGCATTTCGTTTCGGAAAATGACACACCCACACCCAAAGTTTGTGAGGGCGTCGTTTGTGGGCAGACCTCTTTTTTGTTGAGGTTCAAGGGAACCAAAAGGCAACCGCTTTGCGGTCCACATGTGTCTCAACAATTTGTATGTGGTTGTCTTGGAATAGGAATAAGTCCTTGGACAAAAGAGCATGCAGGCAGCCCAAGTGCCATTGTGCCACGCTTACTAAGAGTTGGTAGACAGTTTAGACTCTAGACAGCCGTGACAGGGATTCCTCCTATGAGCGGAACTATGCCCATGGCCCACGTAATGATGTGGGCCCATAGCAAGGGGAGCCGCAGCAAGCTAGTAGTGACCAATCGTGGCCAGTAACCATGACGGGTGACTCTGATAGTCACAGCTCCTTTGGCTTTGAAGCTGCAGAGTGACTCGGATTTGCTTGCCGTTCAACTCCTGTTGCCATCAACACGCGCCGTTGAGGGTGGGAGGATCTTTCTTAATCTACGCAGCTGCTTGCCGGATTTTGATCACAGCTTTCCTGTAAAACTCTGTTGCCCAGCAGTGCCTTTTTTTGGATACGGGTTCCCCTTTAAACACAACCAACCAAACATGCCCTTTCTCCCATGGCCACTGCGCATGTGGGAAAGCAAGGTGCCACGAAAAACGGCAAGCCCTGTTTCCCCTTTGGCAAATTCAACCACAAAACCCAGAAATTCCTGACCGGGCCCCGGTTTTCCTATGTCCTCTTTACAAAACCTTCGTATTGAGCGGTTGAGACTACCTGCTGCTCCCATAGAATAACTTTGGTTTTGGGCAGAGCCAAAAGGTCAAGCTGGCCAGTCACCTCTCCAAGGGGTTTTTCCCTGAGTGTTTTATACGGTTTCCTGAAAGGATTTTTGGAAAAGGCTAGCTTCCCCCACCTCAACAAGTGGGGATCAACTGGATAGACGGAAGCACGCGTCCGCCTCCCTTGAGACAGGGGCCCGAACTCTCTCAACTTAGTACCTGTGGCTGGTGTCCTTTGTTGGGGCAAACGCCTTTTGTTTGGCGGGTTTTTGTTCAAGGAGGTAAGGAACACAGCAAGAAAACCGCCGATTTTGGGGTCCGATAAAAAGACACCGATTCTTCTGGATACCTGTTTCAGGTACCTGGCAACTTGTGGTTTGGAGCCCGTTGGTTTTTCCGGGATGGGACACCCCATTGTCCCACAAGAAGGGGTTCAAATCTCCAAACCACCAATCCGAACCACTATTTAAGGCTAAGACGACTGTTCGGTCAGGTTGCTCAAGGATTCCGAGCTCATTGAGATTTTGCAGAACAAGAGCGACCACACCTACGAGCAGCACATGGAGCACTTCAATGACTGATGGGATTCCCAATCCCCCCCCCCCATGCCCCGCAAACCTCGTTTTCGAGGTTTTTTTGGGGACCCGTTGTTGGCTGGTTTTCAAGGCAACTAGAACCTTAAAACAGGACCGCGGTAAGATGGGCTCACATGAGAAAGGATTGATGCGAAAAGTACGATAATGAGATAGCATAATATGGGTTAATATATGATAAGGCAGGGTAGTATCAGCCTGCATAGAAGTGATCGGTACAATAGACAAGAGAGATAAGACATATAAGATACATCAAATGGACAAGATGGAGCAGATAGATAAGACAGTTTAATCAATGGACATTACTGCGGCGACGCAGTGGGTTGATCTAGGTGCACGTCCTCCCATGTGTCCCGCACGTGGTAGATGCACAGCGAAATCTTTCGAGAAGAGGGATAGAGAGCTAGCCAAATAGGCCGATAGATTCAGATAGATACGGTGGAATCAGAGAGAAGAAGACAGGATAAGAAGGCATAAGACAGCACATGGCAGGATTCATTGGTTAATAGAGTAGAGGATGGAATACGACAGAAAATCTAGGATAAATTGGATATAGCTTTAGATAGACATGGATATGCCAGGCCATGGATAAGACGGGGTCAAAAAAGACAGGGTGATACAGGGTAAGATAGGATAAGATGGGGTAAGCTGTGCTCGGATAAGATGGGGTAAGATATGATAGGATTTGATAGTATAGGATAGGACAAACAATATCTGATAAGATGTGACAAGGTGGATAAGGTAGATAAGGAAGATAAGGTAGATACGAGAGAGACTTTTGATAAGATAGATAAGACATATAATATAGATAAGTTAGGGGGGAGAAGGTACGATGCGTTTAAAAGATAGGATAGATAGGATGGAGGATGCATAAATAGATAGAAGATAGTTAGAAGATAGACAGGTAGAGACATAGAAAGTCAGCCAGGCCTGGCAGCCAACCACAAAGGCTCAGCCGGCCGGCCGATCAGCCAGCCGCGAGCAGCCAGCCACGGCCGGCTGGCCGCTGACAAATTGCAGCCATGGCAACCGGGTCGCCAAAACACCTGGTTCATTTAGTTCATTTAGGAAGGGAGCCTTCACTGGAGTGAACCCCCCTGAAACGGTAGGGTCGGAGGTCTCGCCTGTGACTGCCCAGACCTTTATGAACCTCTATGACCATGAACCCAAAGTAACGGGTCTTGGGTCGCTGCCGCTCATGTGCTTTAAGAGTTTGGCGAGGATCACCACAAGTATGACAGCACCATCTACGACCCAATTGTCGATGATCCGAACGCCTCCTATGAGCCCTTCTAACGTGGGCGCTGCGGAAGCATTGCGGGAGGCAATAACATTTGATGAATGACTTTGGGTCGAGGCTAGGGCGTAGGAACAAATGCTGAGATGTAATACTTCAGTCAGACAAAAGTTTATGCGTCTTAGATGTTTTCCAAAGACTCTATTTGGTCAACCAAGGGTCGCATTAACAAGCGCAAGCCGTGGCAGGTGTGACACGGCAGGTGTGGGATGGCCAATGATCACCCCCTTTGAATATTCAACACATATACAGGCTGGCCGGCGTCCAAGTTTGACCATGCGAATCTGCGCAGATCTCACCGTGTAGGATTCTAGCCGGGAGGGCCTGTTGTTGTATTGAACTGCAAGAAGCGCAACTTTGTTTGGCCAGTGTATGTGCTTCCTTTTGCATGTGTTCGTGCAATCAAACACAGGTACCACAAGCAGGATGCAACCGATTCAGTAGAAAATTAAATGCCACAGATCAAAAAAGCAAGAGATGGTTATCTCCGCGAGGCTCTGTGTGTTGTGTGTGTGTGTGTTTGCGTGCGGGTGTGCGTGACTTATGTTTTTTGTGCCTATCGTCGTTCTGTGTTCGCGTTTGTGTTTGTGTTTGTGCTTGTGTTTGTGCCTGTCGACGGGTTTGCCTGTGTGTGTCTGTGTATGTGCGCGGGCGTGTGCAAGCGGGTTTGCATGGGCTGGTGTGCGTCTATGCGCGTTTGATGGTCCTGATTGTGTCTGTACGTCTGTGTTTTATTGGTGTGTCTGTTGGGCTGCGCGTGTGTGCCTTTGTATGTGTGGTGTTCTGCTTGCGAGTGCGTGAGGGGTGTGTGTGCGTGTGTGTGTGTGTGGGTGTTTGTGTGTGTGTGTGTGTTTGTGTGTGTTTGTGTGTGTGTTTGTGTGTGTGTGTTTGTGTGTGTGTGTGTTTCTCTGTGTGTCTCTGTGTGTGTGTGTCTTTGTGTGTGTCTCTTTGTGTGTGTGTCTCTGTGTGTGTCTCTGTGTGTGTCTGTGGTCTCTCTGTGTGTCTCTGTGTGTCTCTCTGCGTCTGTCTGCGTCTCTCTGTGTGTCTCTGTGTGTTTCTGCATCTCTCTGCGTCTCTCTGCGTCTCTCTGCGTCTCTCTGCGTCTCTCTGCGTCTCTCTGCGTCTCTCTGCGTCTCTCTGTCTCTGTGTGTCTCTGTGTGTCTCTGTGTGTCTCTGCATCTCTCTGCGTGTCTCTGTGCAAATCTCAGTGTGTCTCTGTGTGTGTCTCTGTGTGTCTCTGCGTCTCTCTGCGTCTCTCTGCGTCTCGCTGTGTGTCTCTGTGTGTTTTTGTGTGTCTCTGTGTGTCTCTGTGTGTCTCTGTGTGTCTCTCTGCGTCTGTCTGCGTCTCTCTGTGTGTCTCTGTGTGTTTCTGCATCTCTCTGCGTCTCTCTGTGTGTCTCTGTGTGTCTCTGTGTGTCTCTGTGTGTCTCTGTGTGTCTCTGTGTGTCTCTGTGTGTCTCTGTGTGTCTCTGTGTGTCTCTGCGTGTGTCTCTGTGTGTGTCTCTATGTGTCTCTGCGTCTCTCTGCGTCTCTCTGCGTCTCGCTGTGTGTCTCTGTGTGTTTTTGTGTGTCTCTGTGTGTCTCTGTGTGTGTCTCTGTGTGTCTCTGTGTGTGTGTCTCTCTGCGTGTCTCTGCGTCTCTCTGCGTCTCTCTGCATCTCTCTACGTCTCTCTGCGTCTCTCTGCGTCTCTCTGCGTCTCTCTGCGTCTCTCTGCGTCTCTCTGTGTCTCTCTGTGTGTCTCTGTGTGTCTTTGCGTGTCTCTGCGTGTCTCTGCGTGTCTCTGTGTGTCTCTCTGCGTCTCTCTGCGTCTCTCTGCGTCTCTCTGTGTGTCTCTGTGTGTCTCTGCGTCTCTCTGCGTCTCTGTGTGTCTCTGTGTGTCTCTGAGTGTCTTTGTGTGTCTCTGTGTGTCTCTGTGTGTCTCTGTGTGTCTCTGTGTGTCTCTGTATGTCCCTGTGTGTCTCTGTGTGTCTCTGTGTGTCTCTGTGTGTCTCTGTGTGTCTCTGTGTGTGTCTCTGTGTGTGTCTCTGTGTGTGTCTCTGTGTGTGTCTCTGTGTGTCTCTGTGTGTGTTTTGTGTGTCTCTGTGCGTGTGTCTGTGTGTGTGTCTCTGTGTGTCTTTGTGTGTCTCTGTGTGTCTCTCTGTGTCTCTGTGTGTCTCTGTGTGTCTTTGAGTGTCTCTGTGTGTCTCTGTGTGTCTCTGTGTCTCTTTGTGTGTCTCTGTGTGTCTCTGTGTGTCTGTGTGTGTGTGTGTCTCTGTGTGTCTCTGTGGGTCTCTGTGTGTCTCTGTGTGTCTCTCTGTGTCTGTGTGTGTCTCTGTGTGTCTGTGTGTGTGTGTCTCTGCGTCTCTCTGCGTTTCTCTGTGCGTCTCTGCGTGTCTCTGTGTGTCTCTGTGTGTTTCTGTGTGTCTCTGCGTGTCTCTGTGTGTCTCTGTGTGTCTCTCTGCGTCTCTCTGCGTCTCTCTGCGTCTCTCTGTGTGTCTCTGCGTCTCTCTGTGTGTCTCTGTGTGTCTCTGCGTCTCTGTGTGTCTCTCTGCGTCTCTCTGCGTCTCTCTGCGTCTCTCTGTGTGTCTCTGTGTGTCTCTGCGTCTCTGTGTGTCTCTGTGTGTCTCTGTGTGTCTCTGTGTGTCTCTGTGTGTCTCTGTGTGTCTCTGTGTGTCTCTGTGTGTCTCTGTGTGTCTCTGTGTGTCTCTGTGTGTCTGTGTGTGTGTGTGTGTCTCTGTGTGTCTCTGTGGGTCTCTGTGTGTCTCTGTGTGTCTCTCTGTGTCTGTGTGTGTCTCTGTGTGTGTCTGTGTGTGTGTCTCTGTGTGTCTGTGTGTCTGTGTGTCTCTGTGTGTCTCTGTGTGTCTCTCTGTGTCTCTGTGTGTCTCTGTGTGTCTTTGAGTGTCTCTGTGTTTTTGTTTGTCTCTGTGTGTGTCTGTGTGTGTCTCTGTGTGTCTGTGTGTCTCTGTGTGTCTCTGTGTGTCTCTGTGTGTCTCTGTGTGTCTCTGTGTGTCTCTGCGTCTCTGTGTCTCTGTGTGTCTCTGTTTGTGTTTCTGTGTGTGTCTGTGTGTGCCTGTGTGTGTCTGTGTGTGTGTGTCTGTGTGTCTCTGAGTGTCTCTGCGTCTCTCTGTGTGCCTCTGTGCGTCTCTGCGTGTCTCTGTGTGTCTCTGTGTGTCTCTGCGTGTCTCTGTGTGTCTCTGCGTCTCTCTGCGTCTCTCTGTGCGTCTCTGCGTGTCTCTGTGTGTCTCTGTGTGTCTCTGTGTGTCTCTGTGTGTCTCTGTGTGTCTCTGTGTGTCTCTGTGTATCTCTGTGTGTCTCTGTGTGTCTCTGTGTGTCTCTATGTGTCTCTGTGTGTCTCTGTGTGTCTCTGTGTGTCTCTGTGTGTTTCTGTGTGTCTCTGTGTGTCTCTGTGTGTCTCTGTGTGTCTCTGTGTGTTTCTGTGTGTGTCTGTGTGTGTGTGTGTCTCTGTGTCTGTGTGTGTGTCTCTGTGTGTCTCTGTGTGTCTCTGTGTGTCTCTGTGTGTCTCTGTGTGTCTCTGTGTGTCTCTGTGTGTGTCTCTGTGTGTGTCTCTGTGTGTGTCTCTGTGTGTGTGTGTGTCTCTGTGTGTCTCTCTGTGTGTCTCTGTGTGTCTCTGTGTGTGTGTCTCTGTGTGTGTGTGTCTCTGTGTGTGTGTCTGTGTGTGTGTCTCTGTCTCTGCGTCTCTGTGTGTCTCTGTGTGTCTCTGTGTGTCTCTGTGTGTGTCTCTGTGTGTCTCTGTGTGTCTCTGCGTGTGTCTCTGTGTGTCTCTCTGTGTGTCTCTGTGCGTCTCTGTGTGTTTCTGTGTGTCTCTGTGTGTCTCTGCGTGTGTCTCTGTGTGTCTCTGTGTGTCTCTGTGCGTCGTCTCTGTGTGTCTTTGTGTGTGTGTGTGTGTCCGTGTCCGTGTCCGTGTCTGTGTCTGTGTCTGTGTCTGTCACCTGCCCGTAGCTCACCTATGGAGGTGCCTTCAGCGGTTTTCTCTGGGCTTCACTCTTTCCTGTAAAACACCTCAAAACAAGATTTGTCCTCAGATAGTTCCCCCCAAAGAACTTCAATGCCCTTGCTGTTCAGGCCATTCGCCTTATTTGTCACTTCAGAAGGCTTATCAAGCCCCATCCCTTAGGGAAGTTGTTTTTTTGGGGGGTGGTAGGAGGCTTTGAGCGCTACCAGTGCCCATCCCTGTCCTGAGCTCCGAACAGCCCCCAGGCCGAGACCGTGGCACTCAGTCCAAAAGGGACCCTTGCTCTGACAGCCAGGCTTTCATGAAATTCAGTGATGGGAACTTTGTTTTGGGGTTGATGGGATTGACTCTATGTCAGTGAGAACCCTAAAAGCGAGGGAGAGATGAGAGAGGGTAGCAGTTGTGTTTTTGAGCTGTAAGAAGCCGAGTATTCTCTGCTGCACTCACAAATTTTCGGACTGAGGACGGCTCTCGCCGCCAACTGATTTGCCGCCTGTGGCTTGAACCGGTAACCGGACTTGCCAGCGAGCTTTGCACAGGCAGAAAAAAAGCTTTGGTTCGAGGGTTCGGTAGCTTGTTGCCAGCCCCTTCCTTTCACAGGGCAAAATTAATTAGGGTGTTTAAACAAGAGTGGTTCAGACATGTTTCAATGATCTTTACGCATGACCCAACCCTGCGGTCGAGTGCATGAGAAGGGAAGGATAATGCACCCAGCAACACTGTTCCAGCCGGATCAGTTGGCATTTTTGCGGTGGAAAACATATTGCCTACCGAGAACTATGTGCTTTGAACATGAGTGCACGTTTTGTTGGGGGCGGTGTACCTGTTATCCCTTCCAACTGTCCCTCTTTGGGGTCCGCCGACAAGCAGGATGTAGAGTGAACACACCCCGACCCCTTTTTGAAGATGCAACTTACATTTGATCAGACTGAGCTTACCTTGCGGGTAAAACGAGCTTATTCCAAGGCAGGTTCCTTATGACGATCCCCTACTTTTAGCTTAAACAACCTAATTTGTGATAGTGTGTGCCGTTTCGTCTCGTTGAACTCGGTTGGGCCTTGGGGCAAGCAGGGTGCCAATCATAAACAAGTAAGCGCTTACCCAGTTAGTGAACCTAGAACTTGTTGGGAGGGTCATTCAAGTGGTAAAAGAAGAGTCTTGACTTTTTCTGCCAGCCCACTCAGGAAGTGAAAACACACTAGCATGAATGCCATGGGTCCTCCCTTGCAGCCCGCCCTTGCGCGCAGAGGCAACCTGAAGCATCACCGTTTAGATGCGGTGGGTAAGCGAGTTCCCTTGGTCAGGGAACATGGAGAATCGTCAAAAGGCCTGCTTGCTCAAGGGAAACGACTTCGTGCTGCTTGGGTACGTGCCGGAAAACAACTAGATTTTACCTTTACTCCTGATATACCCCATACAACGATTGGCACTCCCCCCAGCTTACAGATCACACAGTAGTTTGTATAATATATATATATATATATATTATATTGTACATGATCGGGTCCCGGATCCTTGTGAATTTCCGCTTGCCAGGGTACCGTCATCACCGTTGCTCGCCCCTGGCTTTTTTTCAGCTGGGCAATATGAGATTTGCTCAGGATATCGTGGCGTCCTTTTGGAAGGGGCCCAAAATTGATTTACTCCAATCCCACATGGCGGTGGGTCAAAAATGCGTACCAAAAACGGAACCAAAGACTAAAACCTGCGGTCCCCTGGCGGTTTTATTTTAACCCACTCCCATATCCACTAACCCAGAAAAAAGAAAACATCCGAACCCTGTACTACACGAGGCGTGTTTTTCTTGAGGAGCCACTTCCAGGACCCACAGGCACACCCGTCGCAACACCTGCCTTTTCTTCTCTTTGGGGACCCCCAAAGAGGGGACTGGAAATGGGAACCCCAAAAAGGAACCCCAAAAAGCTCTAGTATAAACAATACTAGTCGCTAAAGTCGCCACTGTTGGGATTCGCTCCTATTGGGGGACCCTTGACCATAGGAGTACTCCAAGTGGTGGACTGTTTCATGGTTGGAGAGAGCCGCTAGCAACCAGCTTTGTCTTTTGAGCTGAAGTGGACAGACCTTTTCAGTCAGTCATGACAATTTCCGAAGGAACCAAAACCAGGGACACGATGTGTCTGGCTTCCTGCAGATTTCCCGGCTGGTTTCTTAAATACTTTGAACCAGTTGGATCGCTCCCTCAGTTCCTGGTGCTTTCATGTTTCTTTTGATACCATATTCCTAAGCAGCAAGTGTGGCTACTTTTTTGGCCAATGCGCTGTCAGAGAGTCTGTGGACGTTTGCAAAGTCCATTTCGTACCACTTTGAAAGCATGAGAAGCCACTGTTTTTCTTGGTATTTGCAGGGGATTCATTCTTCCAGGATTTCTTAGATGGTGCGAAATGAATTTCGTCCATGTTCCGAGCAGTTGGATACTCGATCCAATTTCCCATCCTGAACCGTGCTGCTGACGCGAGGAGGTTCTGGTGGTCCATGTTCTCATGCCCATCGCCAGCCACGTCCCGGAGATCTTATGGCAACTTCGGGATCAGGCACCTGGTTTCCATGGCGGGGGGCGGGAGAGGGGTCCCTAGCTAGGTCCCCCACCCTTTCGTTGGGGAGGGTTCCCCTACTAAAATAGACTACCGGACAAAGGGTACCCATATTTCAACCTCTCTACTGGAGGACCTAGTAGGTGTTTCTCTACAAGAAAGAAAGCAGCCCCCCAAATCGGTAGGGGGGTTGGGGTAATGAAACCACCTGGATAGTTCAGTCCGTTGTTTAGTGTCAGGGAAAATGTATGTCTTTGAGAGTACCCCCTTTGCGGTGAAGACCATTTTTCTCGAACATCAGCCCTTCAGAAGAAAAAAACAACGCACCCTGGTTTAATTTGGACAAAATCCATACATTCACGGCATTGTCACCATTGTCTCACTCCATTGCGCCCTTTGGTGGCTGGTTTTGAATAATTTGGCTCGAACCTTATGGGTTGCTGATCTGCTTATCAGCCAGGTGAGGATACCTTACCGGGATTCGTGGGGGATTCCGCAAAATCCACTTGCGTGGCTCGTCTTTTTTGAGATTGGACCCCAAAAATGGCTCAGGTGTTCCGGTTGGTGTCCCTTTAAAGCCACAAACAGCAAGGGTACCCGCACAAGAAGCACAGACACACACACACACACACCTGGGGAATTCTGGTGACTCAACTTGTTTGGGCGAAGAAAATGTTTTAACCACCAGAACCCCTCAGGTGAGTATTAGTGACCAGGCACCCTCTCAAATTGTCGATGTTCTTTTGGTTGCAAGTTGCAAGTTTTGGTCACGACCATGTTTAGGCAGGTCGGTTCCAGCAATACTTTGGCACGGGTCCTTTCACCCTGACAATGGATGATGTCTGCGCTGGAATACTCTTGGCCATTGCTTGTGTTTTGAGCTTCTATTCTTTTGCGATACCGTTTTTTGTGGTTGCAGCCTTCCCCTTGAAGAATTGTCGAGTTGCAAAATGAAGGAGTTATTTTCCCAACAACTGCTTTTTCCCAAGTCCAACATTATTTGGTGTCCAAAAGAAGCAGCGGTTGGGCTCCGGTTTTTGGATTCTCCTCAGGCGGTGGGGCCCAGTCCCATCCCTGAGCTGCTTCCCTACGTCGACGTGATCATGCAACGTCTCAGGCGGGCACATGGATCTGATGTGACGCGAGAGCGAGTTCCGGAGCGTTTGGGAGCGAAAGCCATGAAGGTCCCAAGACTTGGGGATCCAATTCTTACTTCAGCTTTGGGAATTAGAGTAGAATATTTGCAGGCGAGTTAGGCCCCTGAAAGCCTTAAGGGCTTGGCTCAAGCCTGATTTGCAAACCTGGTTGATTTTGATGGCGGGACGTGCTTTTGGGGGGGAGCAAGCGCAATTAATCCACAAGGTTATTATTGATTTGGATTTGACCTTATTCAGCATGTTGTTTGGGTTCTCCACAGCTTTGCCAGACAACCAGTGGATCGGTGGGTTGCTTCGGTTTGCTTCTTTTGGAGGGATTTCCTTTAAATTCAACTACCAAACAAAAGGCACCCTTTTGTATCAGAGCCACTGGAGGTTTGTGCTTTGGGAATTGAGCAGCATTTAAGCTGCAAGCAACACCGTTCATCTTTCATGGTGTGTCGCTGCGTGTGTTGATGTGTTTCAATTCTGTTCATGTTTGGGATGGGCAATGAACAATGTGGTGGCATAACCCACGAACGACAACACAGCCTTGCATCACTTGCAAAGCCAAACCATTTTCCCACCTGAGCCACAATCAGTAAGGGATAATCCCAACCATAAATTGCTGCGGATACCCGCCTTCCAGTTCTTGAAGCATGGTTCTGGGTGGACCGTTTTAATACTGGGCTTTGATGATGACTCACCGTCCGTTGTTTCCGGCTTAGGTTTAAGATGGTCAAATAGTGCCCTTGAAGAGCACCATCAGAAAAGTTGCCACATTGGCGAGCGTGTGTCCAGTTTCACATTCCAGCCGTGTCCGTTGGCAGTGTTGACCCTTACGATCAATTGACTTGCCAGGATCGGATCGACCGCTTCGTTTTTTTTTTCCACTGGATAGTCAAGGTCTGAAGGTTTTTCCCGAAAGCATCGCGAAGGGTTCTTCCGTGCGGAGCCCTTGGACAAGTTACATAAAGCCAAGTTACATAGAGCCAAGTTACATAGAGCCAAGTTACATAGAGCCAAGTTACATAGAGCCAAGTTACATAGAGCCAAGCTACATAGAGCCAAGTTACATAGAGCCAAGTTACATAGAGCCAAGTTACATAGAGCCGAGTTGCATAGAGCCAAGTTACATAGAGCCAAGTTACATAGAGCCAAGTTAGAGCCAAGTTACATAGAGCCAAGTTACATAGAGCCAAGTTACATAGAGCCAAGTTACATAGAGCCAAGTTACATAGAGCCAAGTTACATAGAGCCAAGTTACATAGAGCCAAGTTACATAGAGCCAAGTTACATAGAGCCAAGTTACATAGAGCCAAGTTACATAGAGCCAAGTTACATAGAGCCAAGTTACATAGAGCCAAGTTACATAGAGCCAAGTTACATAGAGCCAAGTTACATAGAGCCAAGTTACATAGAGCCAAGTTACATAGAGCCAAGTTACATAGAGCCAAGTTACATAGAGCCAAGTTACATAGAGCCAAGTTACATAGAGCCAAGTTACATAGAGCCAAGTTACATAGAGCCAAGTTACATAGAGCCAAGTTACATAGAGCCAAGGTTTGGTAGAGCTTAGAGCTTCGGCGTTAGCAGCTATGTAAGTTAGTTTAGGTTTCTATTGCGCCGGGGCGGGAGTTTGATCGTCGCTCGGGATTGCGACACTCTGCGGAGATTCGCGTGGTCGAGGTTCAAAAACTGACGACTTTTCACGATTTTTAGCATGCGCGCGCGACCCTCTGCGGAGATTCGCGCGGTCGAGGTTCAATAACTGAGGACTTTCTACGATTTTTAGCATGCGCGCGCGACCCTCTGCGGAGATTCGCGTGGTCGAGGTTCAAAAACTGAGAACTTTCTACGATTTTTAGCATGCGCGCGCGACCCTCTGCGGGGATTCGCGTGGTCGGTTCAATAACTGAGGACTTTTTACGATTTTTAGCATGCGCGCGCGACCCTCTGCGGCAAAAAAAAGCTGGGGTCCTAATTCCAGCCAAGATATCTAGTCACCATGTTCAGCTGCAACGGCTCGTGCCAGTTGGCTCATCAGGACCAAGCTGGGACGTCTGCAGCTCCAAGACGCGAAGCAGGCCTTGAGCCATGAGGACGGAGTGTTGGTTTCTCTTGTGCTGGGTTTGTCTCGTTTTTGGGTACCCCTTCTTTCCCGTGTTTCTTTTGTGTATATATATATATATGTACACATAAATCTGTAAAATTAAACAAAAACACAACAACAAAAAAGGGAAACAACAGGAAACCCACATAGCTGTCTCTCACTTGCCCAAAGCGAATCGACCTGTTGGAGTTTCCCCCTTTTGGCAGCCATGGTTTAGTCATGGCCCCCAGTAGTGCCTTTTTACTCTCTTTTTTTTGGGGAGGGTTCCCCTACTAACATAGACTACGGAAACAGGGGTACCCTTATTCTAACCTTTCTACTGGAGGACCTAGTTAGTCATGGCCCCCAACGCTTCTCCTTTTATGTCTGTGTCCTATTAGCAACCGAGGGACCAAGTTGTTTCTTAGGGGCCAAGGACAGAGGTAACCGAAGGGGCTAACGGCTAAATAACTAGTTACACGGAACACGCATTCCGTTTTTCTAGGCCCGCACTGACGCAGATTGATCTTTCGTAAGACACTCAGGGGTTTTGTTCACTTTGGTTTTAGAGGGAAAGCTGGACTTCGGATTTCTTATTTGCCTTAAACGCAAGCTTAAAAGATACCACTTGGAAGTGTGTGTGTGTGTGTGTATGTGCTTGAGGGCACCAGTGTTGGGCAGTTTTTAAGGGACATGAAAGGGAACACCACCCTATTGGAACGGGTCCCCTATTTTGGCAGCTGCCCCTTTGGCCGTTTCGAACATTGCCCTTTCCTGCCCAAGTTTCTCAAGCCCGAACTTCCAATCAAGCGACACCTTTCCGCACACTGACACGGCTAGCCATGTTGGACGAGGGATGCTAACAAACCCTACATGCTTATAATCAGGGCTCCTTAAAAGATACATTTTGCCCAATTGAAACATGGCTTTTTCCACCCCAAAAAAGGGAAACCACCATTTACAAGGCAATGCTCAGGTGTATAATGTAAGGATCCCTGTTATTGCCCTCCGACATTGACACGGTGAAAATCGGGGCCAAAGAGCACCACCTGATTGCAAGGGAGATGGCCGCGGGTTCTCAACCAGAGTGTCCCAAATCGTTTCGCATTTTGTCCCACCAGTTTTGAAGTTTGTGTGTTGTTTGTTTTAAGAATATCATTTGGTGCTTGGCTGTAAGGAGTTGAATGAGATCAAGGATGTGAGCTCACTGACCCATGCTCTTTACTTGATCCGATTCGTGTCTCAGCTTTTGGACTCATTTTTTACAACATACTCCCTGTTTCAAGACTGGCCGAAAAAGAGGACCAAGTGTTTGGCTTGCGCTTGGCTTCCCATGTGTCATGGCGACTTGAAAGCTAAAATTATCGAAAGGTGCCAAAAAATACCCCTCTATGCCATAGGCAAAACTAATCGGGAATCCGGGACTCAGTGGGGCCTAGATATCCCCGTGGGATTTCTGCCAAAAGGAAGCATCCACAGCCGATGATGCATGTCGATGTGCAGCGCCTTCCCTTACTTGCAGGTCTTCTGCTTTGGAACCGTTTGTCCCGAAATCCAGGGCTCCGATTTGAGTCACAGTCAAAGCCTGGAAGCCGCACCTCTTTCCTGCAGGGATTCTTCCTAACCTTCCCCTGCCTCACTTGAGAAGCAACCGAACTCTTTTTTGGGCAAGCTCGGCCCATGTTACTTGTGCTGAGAACCCCAAATAGGAACCCGTTTCGAAGTCCGTCTGCAAAAGCGGACCAGCATGTCCATGGGATCATGGAGGAATACAGTCTTAGCCTTTGAAGCAAGGGCGCAGTTTTTTGTTTGTATCGGCAAGCGTCTAATGATGCAAGCAGCTCTGCTTTGGCTTTGGATAGGACAAATCAATTGAGCAGATGATTCAATGTAGACAGCATATCAGCCGCACACGTTCTTTTTCTTTAAGTCGGTGTGTCTCTTAGTTATTTTCATCCTGGCATTGTTGTTCTTTCAGTTTGTTTATGACAAGGAGTGGGAAGGCACACTTTGAAGTCTTCGCAAGTAAGTGAGGGTATCAACCTAGCACTCTCCTAGCATCAGGCGAATGGGTTGTAGGACTTGCACTGGATCAACCTGGGGATTGCTCCTCACCTCGAAGCCAAACCTCAGGATTGCTCCCCTGCGACCAACCCCAAGAGAAGCTTTCAGTTTCTTCTGGCTGAAGGGCAAGCTGAAACCAGGTCTGCGGGCCAACTCAAATACATGTTGAGGTCTTCTGTAAGCCTCTTGAGTTTTCTTGTTGCTCATTTCGCTCGGGTAAAGACCTAAAGTGGTCGGGTGTCAGGCAAGCCCCCGGGCCGATTGGCGCGAATTGAGTCGATTTCGAGTCAGGACGAGTATGAGGAGCCCCCTGAGCTCTCGCCGCGGGGCGTCGGACGCAGGCGATGGGGCGAAGTTGCAAGTCCTTGGCTGTGCTTTCGTTGGATCTGACCACTTGAGCTTCTCGGGAAGTGGTGATTTGGCTGTGTGTTTGTGTTTAAGGGGTCCCCCCAACATGGTGGTTGTTCCTGTGTCCATTAAACACCAAATAAACAGGGGTACCAACTCCAAAAAAACGAGGCACCCATTTGTCCCACGAAAAGAAAGAAAGACGGCATCTGGTCCAGACTTTTGGCACAGGTCTTCCAGAGGCTTCACACGATTTTGGTTCGAGTTAAAAGCAATACCACCCTGAAACCGAGGATGTAGGTCACCTAGCCGGGGATGCAAATGAGTCCGGACAACTTGCAGATTCCAGATTGAGTCCCCTTTCTGTGCAAATGAGGGAAGTTCCCCTTCAGAGTAAAGTTTATGAGCAAGTCCTTGTAGCCCAAAGAGAATCGACCTTCTGATCTGACCTTTGGTGTTCTCATTTTGTGGAGGTCTCCAAAGGTGATCACGTGCGATTCCCAGCTGGCACGTGATCCTAATTTGGATGGGAATCCCACCCCACTGAGTGCGAAGAAGAGGCCTTGGAGTTTGGTACAGCTCTATTTGTAGCCTCTCCATTCCCTTGACAGATCCTGCTCTTTAGAAAATGTCCTTTGCAAAGCACAAGGAAAATTGCGATGGTTTCCCAAAAGCAAAGGGCGAAGAGAATTGTCCTAGAAGACCCATTTGTCAGAACCCATGTCGAGTACCAAAGAAGCAACTCTGAGAACACTCCTCTCCCACCCACTGGCACAGAATCCAGCAAAAGCCCCCCTCAAGAGGCAATCGCTGCCGGAGAAACTGCCTTCTTGAAGTTCCATGGAAACGTGAGTTGGATCATGTTTACCCGTCAACCTTGCTCCATTCGGTGTCCCTTTTTTCTTTAATGAGGGTGCCCTTCATGCAGAACTCGCAGCCAGGCCAATGATTGTGGGTGCCTCCCAAGGGGCTACTATTTTGGTAGGGTTGGGCAAGTGTTGTCTAAATCACCACCCTCTGGCCACCTTTGAACGGAAACCAAAGGAGGTTGTTCAAACAATATTCTCTCTTCCTGAGTTCCTGGTCTTTAACAACTTCAACATCTTTTTTGGGAAGACCATGTTTGGTGGCAAACAAACGATTCGGACTTGTTTTTGGCGGGTCCACGCAGGAAGTGAGATACATAGAGGTTCAAACCTGTTTAAACAGGTGGTTGGCCCAACTCGGGCCATTCGGCAGCTAAAGGCCCTGACCTTTTGGGGCTGAGGCGTGCTTCGGATCTGGGCCCTGTGAACGTGGAGACCACGCCCAACTTGCCCACAGAGCCTCCGGGCTGCAAATAAACTCACTTGACTCGCGGGTATCTCGTGAGTTTTACCGTTTTTGTTTTTTTACCTAATCATTTACTGGATGTACCTCAATCCATCATTGTTTGGCTTAACACTATTGTCTCACCCTGAAGTCCTGGTTTTAGTGTTCACGTTGAATGACCCAAGCGTTTTGTTGGCTCTTTTTAGGGAGCAAATGTGCATGAGCAGTTGTTCAAGTTGAAGGTCTGCGCTCATCCCAGTAGTTTACTGACACCCATGCACAGCATATTAGCTTTGTTTTGTGGGTTCCCTACCAAACATTGACGTAGTTGGTAACAGAAAGTTGTTTTTGTGTTTAAGAGGGTCACTGGGCAACTGTTTGGGATCAAACCCTCCCACTCTAATGATCTTAGCTGGGGCCTTGATCTCAGGGCACTGTAATTCACCCAGTCGGAGTGTTTGCTTTCAAACCAATTCAAATCTAGCCTTGGTTTGGCCGGGGGAGGGCGTTGCTACGGACACCCCACCCAAGGAACACCTATTCCGTGGGGAAGGTTTTTTTAAGGTCGTTTGACAAGGCCATGCTCGCTCCTGCGCGGGCGGTTCGTGAGAGTCATACATATTGAGTGTCCTACCTGCACTCATCGTGTGTGTGTTTGTGTGAGTTTTCTAGGGGACCCGAAAGAAGGTGGTTTCCCTTTTGGTTTCCCTTTGAAACAGGTACAGAAGCATGGAAGTCGAGAGCTGGGTTCAAGAGGAAAGAAGTCTTCCCGCATCAGCTTCATTTGAAAGTGCCCAGTTCTCTGCGGTCGGACGTATAAGAATGTGCCAAATCAAGCAGAGTCAGCGAATTTGGACCTCCGGAAGCCACATGGAACCAGACACTTCGCTCGAATTTTTTGTTTTTTCGTTTGGCTTCCAGGATGATCTCCAGTCTGCATTTCGCTTGGTCAGCCCATATCCATAGGGGGTTCAAGTACCCTTTGAGGATAGTGGTTTGGGGCTAAGTTGGGTTAATACACAACCATAGAAGGTAGCAAGGGGACCTTTAGGACACTTTATGTGGGTGTGTCAACTCTTTGTTGTGGGTTGTTTTACCCTCCGAGTCCCTTTAAATGGTCCAAACCAGGACCCGCCGAAACGTCAGGTTCCATGTTAATTGGTAGGAGAGTAAAGGGAAGCGAAAAGGAAGCACCCATCTTCTTTTGGCTCTCCAAGTTGTGAAATCGCTATGCCAGGCTCCTGCGTGTGGCCATGACCCGGCGCTTCTCTGAAGGCGCAGTCGGCAGTCGGCGGTATCCGTCGGTAAGTCGACTTCAGACTTTCAAGCCCGAGCCTCGGGCCGGTTTTATCTGTCGCCCGATCTCGTACAAATTTGCGGCCGATCTCGTACACTTGTCCATTGGAATGTATCTTCGACGCTTGCTGGCTTACCCGGAACCAGAGAAAACTGGAAGAGTTCATGGGCGCTGAACAGCACGGAGGAAGAATGGATTCGTTGCTGGTGGCCCTCTCCATCATTGCCTGCTTGCAGCTGCGCGCAGACGTTGGTCTCCCGTCGTTTTTGAAAAAAGCTGACCTGCTTCAAGGATTTGACCTCAGCTGGAGGGATGGATGCCTTTTCCAGCTTGCCCAAGCCGGGGTGGAGGGGCGACGTTGGCTGTTGCAAGATTCGCTTTTCAACCGTGACCAATTCCGCGTCAAACTCTCACACTTCTTGGGTCCATTGCGGCAGCTGGCTGAATTTGGAGTTGGGCAGGGGAAGGCCACCTCTGTTCACCTCTTTGGAACTTTGACGCGGGGACTGGCGGACCTTTATCGTCCCACACCTGGGGTGGGGCTAGGCTTTACGAAGGCGGAGGCGGGCAGCATCCTCCATCCCGCCCTGTTGAGCCGGGCGCCTGCTGAGCCGGTGAGGCTGATGGTGCTCCCTTGCTTATCCACAGAAGTTAGCAAAACAATCGTTGCAAGGAACCAACCTGATACAATGGACATGTTCACTGCCAGCGAAAGGCTGGTGGCCATGGAAATTGTTGCGCCACACAGGGTTGGCCTGTTCCAATACGTGGATGACACCTTGTCCATTGACTCCACCGCTTTTGGGAGGATCGGTACAGTTCCTTGTTCAAGGATGTCGATGTTGGTGCTGCATGGAGGTGTCGTATGATACTTGAGGTGCAAGGTCCAGTTTACCTTGGCTGTCTCTCCATTTGCAAAAGGGAACTTGGTCTCGGCCGGGATGTACAAGTAGGAGATAAGGTTCTTCATAGGTTCGATGGCCTGGGCAAAACGCTGGATTGCATGCCAGCTGCCCATGGATCTGGTACATCCATTGTCCAGGATCGCATAGGTCGGATTGTCCTCTTCGAACGCTTTTGGAGACACAAGTTTGCTACGGGCAAAGGGGGCTACTGTCTTGCCGGTGAAATGCCTGTTGGGCATGCCGTCTGTGGAACTGAGTGCTTTCGCTACCCCACCCCGGGTTGTGGATTGCATGTCAGTCTTGGGAGTTGAAGTCGATGGCAGGCTCACCTTCGAAACTTTATTGGCAATGGCTTGTGCCGGGTTTATTAAGGAATCGCAGGCGATCATTTCCACAATGCGGGATAGTGCCCAGGGACTTGTTGGCAGGTTGAACTTCACAGCTGGGTTGAACCATCTGCGCTTTACGCAGCTGCAGCCATTCGCATGGGTGGGCTGCAGTTGCAAAGCGCCTCGATCATGCACAATATGTGGTGTTCATGCATGAATTGGGCATGAAGTGGCGGCTCAGCACCCGCGTTGCCATGAAATTCATTCTTACCCGAGCACGCGCTTTGTGCCTAAAGAGTGACCGCCTGGCCTGTCTTCCTTTTCAAGCCGCAGTTCTCCGCAAGGGTTCTTCTTGGATGACTCATGCTCAACAGGTAGCAGAAACCTTGGGTAACGCGTGATTTTTGTGAGCATAAGGAGTCCATGCGTTTGCTGGAACTTGCTCAGAGCGATGCTGCGAGACGGGCCGTTCGAGAGTGGCGAAACTCTGTTGTTCTGTCGCAACTTGAACGAGTGGAGAAGGAATGGCTTCAGACTCAAGCGAGCAAATGAAGCAGCAGGCACTGCTTTAGCCTGGTACCATGGGATGCTCGACATTTGAAATTCCTTCGTTTCCTGCAATTCTTGTGCCTTTCGAAGAGCCAATGGGCACAAGCGCGGATCTGGCTTTTTGTCCTTCTGGCTGGGTGCTTCGCTTTTGGGGTTTTTGACAATTCCCAGCAGCTGTTTGCAACTTGGGAAGCTTGCCCATGGCGCAGTGTTGCAGATGTGAATGTACGCCATGTTTTGTCTGGAGTCTGGATGTCAAGGTTTGCCACTTGCTTGCACCCTCCAACCCATGTCTAAGGCCCTTGATGAAGACTGCTTTCAGAGAAATATTTACTTTGTGTACTAGGCAATGCGTTTCACATGGAGGCAATGTAGGTGAGTGAAAAGAGGGAGCGACTGGGCAGCATAGTTGAACGCGATGTGGCGGCCGATGGGCTCTTGGAGCAAAGGTGCCCACATGCGTTCTTTTTCTGGCCCATCCTGCGGGAGGGCCTTGCGGGCTTACACTTACACTTACACTTACCTGTCTTTCTGCAAGCAAAGCACAGTTGGAGGGGTCCCTTTAACTGGGGTCTCCCATATTTCAGAGTATGAAACAGAGTCTGCTGAATAAATGGTTCACCCTGTGTTTGGGCCAAGTTGAATTAGTCCCCTATCAGACGAGTTAACAAAGCGGAGGGATTGGGTGAAGGTAGATAACAGCCTTTCCCTTTGGTGTGATCATTTCCTTTGCCCACACAAAGGGAGTTGTGTCTACTTTCATCCTGGTGCAATCCTCCTTCTTGGTGCTGTGTGGTCGAACAGACCAATCTGGGCAGATATGTGGAAAAGCTTGTATGTGTGACGATTGACTGCTCCGGGCATGCTTTCGCACTTGCAGAATTCTTGGGGGAAGTGGCAGGCTTGTTGCTGAGCGAAGCCAAGACGGCAAAGGATCATCCTGGTGCAGGTGTTTCCCAGCAAAAGCGAAGGATTCCCTCTGGCATGGGACACGCCCTCAGAACAAATCAGACAGCGGTTCATAAAGCTTGGGTCAGCCTTACTTGCGAAAGTCCCGTGGGTGTCAATTTCAGGTCAAGTTCAATTGAAAACAGGTTTCAGTTTCAAATGAGTTACCAGTTCCAAGGATTTCTAGAACGACACCCTACTCAGTTTTCGTTTGGGAAGAGTTTGCCTTCAAATTTCACCAAGCATTGCCATACTGGCCTTTTTTTACCTCAGGTTTGTTTTGTTTTCCTTTTCATTCCCTTTCAATCATAACATGTTGCAAGGGGTTCAAGTCTGGAAGCCCCTCGTCTTTCAACCATTTGGCTTCTCGAGTCCTATTGTGGATGGACGAAATCATACACCACCTAAGAAGCCCTGGAACGATCATTCCCCTGGAAATAGCATCCAACAATGGTTTTCCATAGTTTCAAAGTGGTGCGAAATGGATTTTGTCCATACAGGGTTCCTCTCCTTTGAAAGGCCTCGAAAGTATATCCCTCTCCCTGAGATTGCACACTTGCCCATCGACTCGACGAAAAGAACAAGAAACACCCCGACCTTCCATGCCCCTGAGTTTCCGGACTCGTGCTTGGGAAGGCGGATGTGGTGCCAAAAACGCCTAGACTTGCTCTGACCAATCCACTCAGGGAGTGCGTCTCGTTCTTCCGCCCTTCTTTCACGCCTTGACGCCTCCAACTTCGCTGTCTTCCCGACCTAACAGGCTGCAGGCTGCCAACCCGGCCAGCCCCACCTAAATACAATGTACAGAAATGGGACGTTCCAAATGCAAAGATTTCTTCCAGACCGGTGTAAGGGAAACCATGGGAGGGGCCAAAGGCTTTGCCCCGGCGAGGCAACACCACAGAACCCAAAACGACTCCTTTGGGAGGGGACGTGCGGGCTCGGCCGTCGCCCCGCGCCCCGCCAGCCTCGCTGTGCAGCGACCTGCCGCCTTTGTCGGAGCTTTGGGGCGGCGAGAGATCCCAGGACGGCACCTGGCCCCGCGCGCTGGAGGAGGCGGAGGCGCGCTGCAGGCGCGGGGGGGGGGGGGAGAGGGGGGGGACTGGGCAGGGGGTGCGGGGGTACCATTTGCACGGCCTATCTCTTTGTGATTCTTGGCGAATGGCAACAGGAATGGGCGTTTGAGTTTTTGTTTGGTCGACCCGCTTGTCCAGGGATGTCGGAACAGTTTGCAGAACGATGACCTACCAAATAGAACAACTCCAACGTCGAGCACTTTCACTCGTTGCCACTTGGGGCAAACAGTCCTTCAATTTGCCAATCTTCCCGTGAAGAAAAGGACGTTTGCTCAGCTTGATAGATAGTCCCGCAGCAATGCGTTGAAGACAAAACTTGTAGTGTGCTTTGCAAGGATTGCAGTCTCCTGACCGCAGAGCGAGCTGCCCACTTTCCACGTGCAAACATTTTTGATGGAGCGGAGAGGAGCACCTGTTTTAACGTTTAGTTTTCAATGTCACCTGACAGGAGTGGCTTTTGGCCAGAGCGATCAGAGCGTCACGCGAGAATCCTCAACATGAGGCAGTCAAATTGTTGAAGCCTTTGCAGGAATGATTTGCTTCATGGCGCATCGGACACGTTTTCAAGATGCAACGGCTCCGGGAGGAGTACAAGCCGCTTTGGTCTTGGACCTGTCATTGCGGTGGATTGGCAGGCATCCTCCAAAGCGAAGTGGACAAAACAGGACGCTGCGAGCTTTCAGATTGTGGGTGACGATTTGCTCCTTGGGCCTCCGTCGTACGCCGCACAGGCAATTCTTTCTTTGCAGGGGTCGAAATTGAGAGATTGAATTCAGAGCTATCGGCAGAGCGCGGCAAGACGGCAGAGCTTGCAGAGAAGTTGGACAGGCGCAAGCATGACGCAGGGAGCAAACCAAAAGAGTTGTCCCCATTATTTTACATCAAGAAATGGAACCACCGAGGCCAGTGGCTCTTGTTCTTTGACGATCCATGCTTGTACTGTTCTGAGTTGCTTTGGTCTTGCTTCGGAGCAATACGGGCTTTGGGCTGAAACCAACAATTACATTAGACAAAGTGTGTGGCCTCTAGACATGGCGAGTGCTTTTCATATGCCGAAACGTGGTTGTTCGTGATACAAGTGCACGTGACATTGTGCTCTATGCTATTTGTTTAGGGAATTTGGTTTGAATACTTTATTAATCAAGGGAAGGTTCGTGGGAAAACTTCCGTAATACAAAAAGTTGAAACAGCAGAGTCGTGCAAAGAATGTAAGTAAGCAAGAAATACGAACAGTAAGTACAGAGAAGGAGATGGACAGGGAAACAGTTGTGTAGTATGCGCAGCATATTGCGGTAGGCGAGATGCTACCCCCTCTGTTGAGCGCACAGGTTCGCCGCAGGCTCGCCGCGGTCTGGGAAGTTCCCCAATCGCGCGTGCATATGGATCGGACGTGTAAATCGCGTGGCAGGCGCAGCACTTTGGGAAGAACTAAAGAAAGAAGGGAGCAAGAAAGATAAGAGAGGAGAAGAGAAAGATGAAGAGGAAACAATCAGAGCAAGAGAACGAGAAAGAGCAAGAGAAAGAAGAGAAAGAGAAAGAGAAAGAGGAGAAAGATAAAGATAAAGAGGAAGAGAAAGAGACAGAGGAAGAACAATAAAAGACACGGGATGCTCAGAGAAGAGAAAGAAGAGAAGAGAAGAGATGCTGTACGAAAACAATTCATGTCCTACAGGCACATTGTTGGTTAGAAGCTTCCGTCTTCCAGCTTTGCTGGAGCATACCTGGTTCTTTACGAAACCATTGCCTGGGTTCGTTTTTCTATCTCCACCGGGTTTGACAAAGCAGGACTTTCGCACCGTTTTTTATCTCTCACACCAGCCGGCTCGGTTGGTCGTTTTTCGTTTCGGCTGGCCACCGTGTACTGCATGAGTCCAGGTGACAGACGGTGACAGACGGTGAAAGGTAAGCCCTTCACACATGTTTCAGCATAGCTGGTAAGCCCTCCTGATTGGGAAAGAGCATTAGTGAATCTCAAAGTGTAGTTGTTGTTTTTTTCTTCCTGGGAAGCATGCGATATTGTGTCAGCTGGCACCAGCACAACCCTGATTAACAGTGGCAACTCGGAATTATCTAAGGATGGTTCCCTTTTTTTATATATCTGACATGTATCAGCGCTTCCCAGGTTTGTGTTGGAATTTTTGACCCCGGATTAATCAACCTGGCTAATCGGGGGTGAAACGAGCAGTTATCCCGGGAAGGTCAGAGGAGTTCCCTTACTTTCAGTTGGAGATCAATCAAACAATGCCCAGGAAGCTGGGCAACCTGATTTTGGGAGGTTTATAGCAGGGTACCCCGTCAAATGCAGATCCTTGGAACGTGATCCCTGTCGCAGCCAGGCGCTTGCTGGCGGCTTTGGGGCAGGACTTCTTTTCAGGCCGCCGGACAGCGGGTCACCAGTTTGGTGGGTCGACAGGCGGGTTTGGAATGACCTACACATCATTGGAGCTGTCACTGCCCAGAAACCATGGGGAATCTTCAAATGGCATGGGCACTTCGCCTTGTACGAGGGTTGTCATTGGATGATTTGTTGAGAGGTGTTCTTCTCCAGGTCACCCTTCAGGCTTCTGTTCAGACATACGCGCAAAGACGCCGCAAGAGCGCCGGCATGCCCTGAAGTGTTTAGGAACTCTCATGGACCAGGCAGGGTTGTTGGGAGGCCTGAAAGGCATCTTCGGAGCCTCTGATTTGGGGATGCCAAGGCCCCGTGAGGGTGGACACTGAAGGTGGCAGGTGTAACGTAGATATCACTTTCAGGTTGCAGTGTTGCCAAAGAGCGAGATGGGTTAAGTGTTGGCGACGTTGATGAATAGCCCAACCGGGATAGTTTGTTCTACAATGCCTGCTTGTAACGTATGTTGTGGAATCAAGCGTTTGGGTAGGGCTGGGCGTTTCTGAGCCACAACAAGGATCCTATAAAGCATCCTACAGCCCAAAGTCACCAATCCACCCTGAAACAATTACAATCAGGGCTAACGACTGAAACGGGTGTGCCCTTGTTAATTTAGTAGGCTGCTTGACCCCCCCCCCAATGAACCCCCCGTTAAATGGTGGAGATTGCCTTCAGCAAAAACCTCGATATCCAGCTGAGAGGGGGCGGGAAGTCGGCTATTCCGGGCTCTGGTACATTGAGTTTTAGGTTGCCACTTTCTGAGATACCAACAGAACCGTCTTTCAGAGCCATGAAGCGATCAGGAAGATGGGAATTCCATGTTGGTATCAAAGAAAGAGCCATTGCCCACCACTTTTTCTAGCGTTTTGGGCAACTTACCCAAATTCTCCTTCCAGCAGCCAGGAATCCGGAATCAAAGGACAACCAGTTCGCTTCCGTACATTGGGGTGGTCATAAGGCCCGCCCGCGGAAGGAAAACCAATTGCAGCGGAAGGCCACGCAAGTGTGTTGTGCAAGTGGCGTGATCGCGTAGGCTACCACTGCGCTCACGCAAGCTCGTGTAAGCACCTCGGCCTAAGAGATTCTTGTGACCTGGAATTGCACCCGACTTTTTGAACCCGCTCGTTTTGTGACCTCGTTTGCCCCCCCACCCTCCGCCCCCTGAATCGGTCGAATCGCTCGTGCCCCCGTGCCCAGGGTCTTCGTCCAGATAGGCCTCTTGAGCCACAACCAAGGTCGAATCGGGTAGTTGAAGGATGTTGAAGGGCTCTAGGGACAGTTCCGTCAATATGTAAAGTGCGGATATCCGCTCCTCTTGATTCCTTGCCTGGTTTTGGTACTGTCTTGCTCCGGACGGCTTTGCTGAGCCACTGTGTCCGTTCTGGTCACTGCGTTGTCTCTCTCTCTCTCTCCAGTTTCCTCGCTGGGTAGCTAGCATGATTATGGGGCACAGGCACCGCGCGGGTCCGACGTGCGAGCGGCAGGCATCCATTTCGTGCCACGCTTCCAGCGGCTGATCGAGCTGCTTGCAAGCAAGTTAGCTACAAGGGGCTGAAGATACTGGGCGCCAAAACAACTCACACAGTGGTAATGTCCTCATCCTGTGTCCAACACTCATTGCAGTGTGCAAGGTGCCTTTTCAGGTGGATGGTACTCCTATCATCACGTGCTAAAGTACCCCTTTGCAAATTTTGAGGCCCTTATTTCGCCCTTGCTGCCAACAGCGCACCTGACAAGGGGCCCGCTTCAGGAGGGGATTGAGCTTCCAGTGTCCCGCCCACAAGTGCCTTCTATTGGAGGAGAACCGTTTACTTTTGGAGGGGATGGGCTATGTAGTTACTCACATGCCCAAACCCAAGCTTTAAACGGCCCCTACAGGATGCACTTGGGCTAACACAACCAACATTCTAATTGCGACCTGATTTAGAGGATGCCCTTGCAGAGAATTGTTAGCCAAACACTTGACCAATCTTAAGGCCCGTTGGATGGTGAAGCTTTGCCATAGAATCAGCATGTTTATTGACCAGTGCCATTTGCCGGTTTCACACCGTTTGACTGGTAGCTGGAATTGTTCAGCAAACATACTGCGGGACAAAATCCTGCACCACTTGTTTGTTTTCTGCGAAGCATAGCCAAAATCAATCAACCGGAACCCATAATAAGGATCCAGAAGGAAATCAGGAGGGGACCAAGGGGCAAAAAGGGGGATCAACAGGAACAGAAACCTAGCCGACACCAAAAAGTAATCCAACAGGAACCGCAAGAAGTCCAAGCGATGGCCAATGGAAAACAAAATAAAATACATCCAAGGGAAACCAAAAACCAACAGCAAGACCAACAAGATCCAACAGAAGGCCCAAAGCAAGCCAATAGCAAATAGCAACCAAATTCTTTAGGGCATCAAGAGCATTCAGACCGTTGCCTGCCTCGCAACGGGATGGCACGCGGCCAAGGCGCGCTCGCGCAACCCATTCCGCGACTCAGGATGCCCTTCGAGCACTACCATTTCTGGGAGCAAGTGCTGGAGAGCGAAAGCGAGGAGCTGATGGCGCAGTGGAAGAGGGGAAACTTGGCATTGAATGAAGCATGCGCATTTGCTTGACATATGATTATGAACAATGATGTGGGCATATAATGTATATATATATATGTATATACGTACATGTGCATATAGATGCACATGTGCATACGCACATATATATGTATGTATATATAATACAGAGGCTTGACTCAAATGGAGTTGTTTCTGGTGATTTTAGTTGAAAGTTCAATCGTGACCAACAGAAGGTCCTTACTATCACACATAGCCACTTTCTTTTTCTTATTTGTTTCCTTCTTTTTGTGGGGGGAGGGGGGCGGGCTCTAAAGTAAATCAAAAAGGAGACCGACCAGTTTTGGAGTACCGTGATTTTGGGACAAACTTGATATCAAGTGTAGAGGCTGATTATGTGCGTGCATACATGAACCCATTGCCGTTGTTGACCTCGTTCAGGGGCTGGGCTGGGTGCGCATAGTTAGCCCTCATGAATATTGAAATCGCTACGCGATCCGCCGACGCCAGTGGACAGTCCCCCATTAACAAACTGCAGGGTGCCTCAAGTTTGGGGTCAGGAAAAAGACGTCTTTTTGCCTAGGTCATTTTTCATGTCCCAGATGCTGAGGATGCTGGAAATGCAAGGGATGCAGCCACACAACTTACAAGAACAAACCCAATCTTCACGCTCAAGATTTTAAGACTTTCACACACGCGACATTGACCAAACACAGAAAATGCGAGAGTTGTGGGGAATGCTGGGAATGCAGCCGGCTAGCCACAAAGAAGTGCAAAAAACCAAGGTTTTTCAATATTTCCCAAAAGCAGCCATCAAAAACCGATACTAGCAACCCCCCTCAAATACCCTAAGAATGGACTTCCAAAAGCACGATAATGCAAGAAAACTCGTTTTTTTGCAAATTTCAACAGTTCCTCAAGTGTCACTGCACTTGGCTTCACCCAAACCCCTACAGGCCAATTCCAACAGCGCAAAAACACTGGAAAAATACAGGGTTTTGGACACGTAGCACAGCATGCCCAAAAAATAGCAGTCCCAAAAGCCTTCGGCTTTGATAAGAGATTCCGAAGGAAGACCAAGTTGCGGACTGCCATCTACACGCTCGACTGGCGTCGGCGGATTAAATGGCTCCCAGGTATCACTCGGCCACTTCGCTGACAGAGTGACAGAGTAGTCATAGGGATGCCCGACTTTTGTATCATGGAAGGGGAACCAAAAATGCCGTCCATACGTGAAAGCTTTGCGACAACCAGTTCTCAGGGAACGGATCCATTGAACGGGGCCCAAGTCAAGGCAGGTGTCACAGAGAGGTATGGTGGATGCCCCAAATACATAATGTAACCGTATCAACCAAAACACCTGGGTAATGCGCAATCATTTACAGCGATTTGTTTTCCCCGCAACTTGCAATGTCCATATAGGGTATCTATCGTACCTCCGCAAGCCTTTCACAGCCTTGGGCACTTTGGAGCTTGGGGAGCGATATAAGTTTGTGAATTAGAGCGCTAGATTCGATAGGAGAGGGGTGCCACTTGAATCAGGAGGCTTTGTTGCGGGCGAATATGAGAGATCACGAGTTGGTTAGAGCACAAGCTAGCAGCACCCAAACAACTGTTGGCCATTTTTGTCGGCACTACGTAGTTGGTTTAGTGGGGATTCGAGTAAGGACATCCTCAACCTTCAGAAACCTGTTGGTAGAACCAACAAATACAGAGTTTTTGACCGCAGCAAAGTGAGAAGATATGTGAAGGCATGAGCAAACACACTCAGAGGCTGCCTGCAGATGGATCCCTATCTGAGTAAAGTGAACCAACCACCCCAGCACAGAAGAGAGAGTGTTTGTTCTCTGTCACAACCGAGCTCCGAAAAGCAGCATGCCTGCGGCTCTGCAAGTAAGCCTGGAATTGGACCCGCCCTACCCCTGCTGAGAGTACGAAGGGACTTGCCTGCAGGGTTGGGGAACAGGCCAGTTGTTTGTGCCAGGCTGGTTTTGCTAGTTCAAGCGGGCGAGATCAAGTTCTGCTCGCGTATGCGTCAGCTTAAGACGTAGCCTGCCCATTCTTAAGGACCCTTTTGAAGTGGCCCGGGAGGGAACACAGTTGGTTTCGGCAAAAAGGATCAGGGAAGGGCGGAATCAGTTCACTTAGATTAGGGAATCGCCCCGTACCAGGTTCGGGTTGCAATACACGTGGGTCAAGGGAGTCCCTGGGCCAGAATTCCCTAGGCAAAAATCAGGGCCCACAACCCCGAAATCGTGTTTCTCCACACAAGCAGAAGGCCCACAAAAAGAATGTTTTTTTGGTAAAAGCAAAGGGGGGTCCCTAAAAAACAAACAACAGCTTTCGGTTTGCCTTTGAAACCATCTTAAGGATCATAGTGGCGGCTCTCCGATCATCAGCTTTCCCCTGTAACACTGTCGATCTCCACCTGAGACCTCACAAGTTCTTTCGAAGGGGTGAAATCAATCAGCGAATTTAAGACATGGGCTGTATCAGCGAATGGGAATCAGGAACTCTATCTGAAATAGTCAGGGAATCAGCTTTCTTTGGCAGATGCCCACATTGCGCAGGCCTTTAGACGCAGTGCGGCAAAAAATAGCACGAAACAGGACGAAACAGGGAACGCGCAAAGCAACGGCAAGGCAGAGCAAGCAAAGCAAGAAACAAACCGCCAATCAAAAGAATAGCACAACTCAACACAATGCAAATTATATCAAAGCCAACAATAGACATCAACTCAAGAAAAATAAGTAAAAAGTCACACCAAAAAGTAGACATGAATTCAAGACACCCAAAACATAATAAAACAAAGGACACACTGAACAAAAGCGAAGCAATCAAAGTTCGCCAGAGCGAGCTCCATGGCTTTGGGCACAGTGGCTTATGGCCTGCTGGGGGACAGCTCGTTGTACCTGAAGCGCGGCAACGGCAAGAAGTCCCAGATCAAAGGCGCGCGCTTGGCCGCGGAGGATTTTTTCGTTTTTTTTTGAGTAAGGCTCACTTGCCCAAAGAGAATCGACCTCAAATTGAGGCTTTGTTGTTTTGTGGTCACATTTACTCAAGGTCACCTAAGGTTAGCCTTTAGTTCTGGGTCCTTTGTGCAACTGAGCTAAGGGTGCCCAATCTGATGAACCTATTTGAGAAGCTGACTTTCACATTGGCTTGTAGTTGTCTCAACTACCACTTGTTCATCCCAGCCGCTTTGGGAGCGATCGTCGCGAACCCGGTTACCAATGAGCGAAGTAACATCTCAGCTTTCCACAAGCAGCCAGTAATAACTATAATTGTCATTCGTGGATTACCCCAAGCTTAAAGTTTTAACCTAAGGGTTCCGATCCTTTGGGAAAGCAACATTTGGGTATAAGTCTTCCTTGGTAATGAAACAACTAAACCCTGGCATTGGCCGTTGGCCCCCTTGAATGGGGACCTCTTTACACCCCTTCTCCATAGCTATGGCTCGGTGGCACCTGCCAAGTTTGGAGGGTTCCTCACTAAAGCTGGTCCACAAGAAGGGCGTCCATGTTTTGCTATGAGGATGTCGGTTAGTCTGGGGAATGATTTTGAACGGACACATCCCCTTTAAATCGATAAAGTACTTGTGATTCGTCAGCTGACTTCTGCCAAGACTCGAAATCCATTCTACTTTCGAAGCATAGTTGTTCATGTGTACGCATCACACCAGGGGTGCCTGTAACAACTATGCTCAACTGTCATGTGTAAGTGTCAGGAGGCCTCAACGAAGCAAGACACATGTAATGTTCAGGGCTCCTTAAAGGATACATCTTGCAACCATTTGAAACTTGTTGCTTTTCAACACCAAAATAAAGGGAAGCCAACGTTACATTTACAAGGCAATGTTCAGGTGTATAATGTAAGGATCCCTGATGTTGGACCCTCTTTATTGTGACCTAGCAAAGGAAGCAGATTAAAACAAAAAAAGAGTGCCGATAGTGGACAATTGAGCGGGGTCTGGGTTGGACGTGGGCTCACCAATACTGAGTCTGGAACTGATAATTCTAATTTAGAATTGCCAAGATTTAATCTCTATTGCCAAGACTGAATCTCAGATGTCCAGATCTCAGATGAATCACAAAGGAAAGGCTACGGCTTTGATCTTGGACCCAAATAGCTTGTCATTAAAGCGGACCCCAACACGGAGGATCATAATCTCTGGTTGAGCACCCCTTTGTGTGACTGTTTGGCTTTGTTATTTGCTTATAATCCATGGGAACCACTGCAAAAACAACAGTTCCTAAATCTAAGTAAGGCCTTTAGCTGAGAAGGCTTAGAGAAACTACCCTTTCCACAGCAAAATCAAAAGGCTTAGGCTTCGATCTTGCAATTTCCCACCCACCCAAACAATGCTCGACATTAAAGCGGACCCCGAAACAGTCAGATTAAAGAGGATCAGGACCTCTTTGTGTGACTCTTTGGCCTTGTGAGTGTTTCAAGGGATTTATATAATCATCAATAGCTTGGGGACCGCTGAACAACCATGCCTTTTAGCTATGAAGGGCTTAGAAAACCACCATGTAAAAGTAAACGCTAAGGCTTTACTCTGGCTATTTGCTTTGTTTTTCCCGGATGTCCTTTCCTGGAAAACAATTTCTATAATTGCGAATCCCAAAAGATTCCTAGGTTTCTGAATTAGGAAACATAGTTTCTACACCAGCGACCGCTGCGTCATCCTCCGGAAGCAGCCCCCCATATTTCCCGTTTGTGTGTGTGTTAACAACATGGCCTCTTAGGTTTCTTTTTTGGGTGTTCGAGGGGGACTCAAACAAGAAAAGTCAGGCGACCTTGAATACGAGCTCCAGCAGACTCTGGTACTTCAGTATTCCAGCGGCGGCGGAGTGAAGGAATTTCTGCGAATGCTGCGATCCGGCTACCGCTATGAGGTGCCTACTCGGTCCGAAAGCGCCTGCAGGATTGCGGAGAGCAGGCAAATGACCAAGCCACATGTTTGGGTCAAGCCGATTTTGTTGCCAGCCTTCCTGGATGTAGGTCCTTTGTTTGGGGATACCTTACTTCCGGATCTGGCATTCTTGTAACACCTACAGACATGTTCGTAGGTCCGTGAATATTTCCCCGGGACCAAGTTTCCACCCTATCGGATCCAATGGCATCAACGATCAACGCGAGAGAGGGAGGGCGTGGGCGCGAAAGAAGTGGCTAGAAACCGGTGAGCTGTTCAACAGATGACCTGGACCCGTTGGGGGAGCCATGCTCTTTGCCCTGGGGAGCCTTGACGGTAGATGTTCACTGGGTATTCACTGCTTGGGCAAGAAGCCAACTTCTAACTTTTTGGGGTATGCTGGTTGAGCCTTTGTGGGCTTTATGAGGCTTCAGGCTATGAGCCTGTGAATCACAGGACTCATCACCTGCTTGATCAACGGTCTGTGCGCCAGATGGAATCCCGGGTTAAACACCCACATCCCTCAGGTTCAAGAAGCTCGACTTGTATTTTGGGCCTTGAAACAGGAGAAGATGAATTGGATGGTTTCCCTTTGCTCCTTCAGAAAGAACCCCTCTGCAAGTGTGAGTTTTCTCAAAGAAGAACGATATCCAACTGGTTTTCTGATCAGACTGCCTTTCCTGCTCAAAACTGCGAGGTGCTGGGTATCTCCTACTTCGGCAACGAGCACACGTTGCTTCCCTTGGACATTCTTCCAAACTTGGCAGATCTTTTTGACAGGGTCCCCCGAAAAAGGTACTCAAAGCGGCCAGACACGTGGTGCCCTTGTTGGTCATTGAGCTTTTGAGCAGCTGGCTACACCCAACTGGGATCCGGTCGCAATGGGTAAAGGGAAGTCCTTTGGGTGACTGAGACCTTCATAAGGTAAGCCTTGCCCTGTGTACATTTCAGGCCCCTAAATAAAGTTTAGCCCCAAACTTTTAGGTAGGAAGTAATGATGACCCCAAAACATGTCAACCCTGAAAGAACTGGTGTCCCTCGTTCGATCTTTCGGACCTGTTCAATTTCGCGCATGACTTTCAATTTAACCTGTTCAGCTTCTGGAATGCTATGTGTTTTGCTGGTGTATATATATATATATATATTCACTTTCAATGATTGCAGCCCCAACATGGGTTCCTTTTTTACCCAACTCACCTCATTGACCAACCTTTAACTACCTTTTGTCATTGGGGCAATTGAGGACCCTTTGCTTCTACAAGACTTACAGTTTTCTTGAACCATCACGCCACCAAAGCAAAATTCACTCTTAATGTAACCAACACGGAAACGTTTACAACCAAGCCCATTTTGGTGGTAAACAAACAGTTTGGGACTTGTTTTGGCCAGTCCGCTGGATTGGAAGTGAGGTTACGAAATTCCAGGGGTTGATTCCTTTTCCATTCTTTTCAACCATCGTTCTTTTCAAAAACCAGCCGTTTTACCTCGGTTTCTGTAGGTTCTCTGGAAAGAAGGATTGGGAAGGTACCCCTAGAGAACTGGGGGGGAATGGGGAGTTCTGGACCTCAGGACCCTGAGGAGCACTTTCCCTGGTGGCTTCAGCTCTTCGAGGAGCTGCGACTACGCTGCGAGCGCGTGATCTTCTTCATGGGGGGCGTGTCCACAAAGCCATCGGGACTTGGGGTGGCCGGGGGAGGGGGGGGTGGTTTCTGTCTCCTCCAAAATGTGCTGTTTGATGTTACTTTGATTGATCCGACTATGGGTTAGAATTCGAAAAACATATTTGTGTTTGGTTTGGGTTTGGGAAAAGGTAGGGTCGAGGTGTTTGTAGGGCTAGGGGATGTTAGGTGTTTTTTTTTTTTTTTGGGGGGGGGGTCCAGGGGCTAAGGGCCACAAAATCGAAGTTGCTTCAAGACTTAGGGGGTCGCTCAGTTTTCTTTTGTGATCTTAGATCCAATCAGCGAAACCCAAAACACGACCTGCGGATGTCCTGCGCCCCTCAAAGTTCGCAAGCCTTTGCGCTTGCAAGCCACCGGCAGGTTTTTCCCCCAAAAGGTCTTTGGGCAAATCACTATACACAATTCCCATGGGTGAGCTTACCAAGACGCTGCCAGACTGCCTTCAACTTGTTGAACCCTTCGGTGTCGCCTTCATTTTTCTCGGCAAAACGTATAGCGGGGGTTAAGGTTGGGTTTTAGTTCACTGGGCCCAGGTATGGGTGGGTGGGGTACTTCTGGCCAGGTCTTTTGGTTAAATGTTTTTTCTTTCGCTCGGCACAGGTATGGGTACTCCAACTTCTACGACGAGAGCCTGGCGGCGATCCGCTGCTGGATCACTGGAGCGGGCTTTGCAGTTCGCACAGACTTCGACCAGGTGGGTAGACTTACTGGTGATTGTCTAGGGTGTTTTCAGTAGTGCCCTTTTGCCCTTTGTTGGGGGAGGGTTGCCCTACTAAAATAGACTACAGAAGAAAAGGGTACCCTTATTCCAACCTCTCTACTGGAGGACCCAGTTGTGTATCTTTAGACATCCTACTTGAGGGGCCCCAATGCACCGATTCTATTTTTGCCTTCCCAAGGGGCTGTAGTCCCTGTTTGGGGTGATGAGTTTCTGTCTGAATGTGCCCTGGTATAACCCTCTAGTTTGTGGGCAAAGTCACTGTTGATCCTGGCTGAATATACGGGGAACTCATCCCCCCTTGGCGTTGATTCGCAACACCTGAGGGAAGCTTCCTGCCCGTTGACCATGCTGTTTGATGCATACCAGGTTACAATGTCCCGTAGCTTGTTTCCTTTCAAATCAAATGCCGCTTAATTTCTAGAGGGAAACCAACCGCCTAGAGGTGCTTACCGTTGAGTATATCTTGCTCGAATGTTGAGCAACATATTCTAGTCTATTGCTCTTTCCGCTTTATGGTTCATGCCAGGGTTTGATTCTGAATCCCTGGCGCCACTCCTCGGTTTGTTTGTCCCTGGACCCACCACACCTTTCCCCCCCCACCCTCCCGGCCTCGTTTCACCAGGTGCTCTCTTGGCCTTTGGCCTCGGATGGTCTGCACTTCTCCGCGGACGCCAAAGCTCAGATCGACTTCCGGCGAGCAGAGAGGTCTCGGGACGGGCGGGGTGGGGACGATGAGGTGGTCTATGCCGTGGTTCTCTTCCAGCTTAAGAATTGTTATTTTCCCCTGCTGGTTTTAAAGGGAATCTATCACTACTGGAAATATATGTTTATTTTGTTCCAGGGGTCTTAACCCAATGGCAGTTATTAGAAACATGTTGTCCAATTTTGTGGTGAGCTTCCCGGGGTGATTGTAGGGGAGTGATAGGGATCCCTGTCTTGGCTGCCCGGCCATGCCCAGAAAGACTTTTATAGACACGTTTTAGGACTTGTTTTATCATACACATCGCGAACCCTTGACTTGCGAGGTATCAACGAACCACTGAGCTGTGTAATTAAGACATCCTCAAAGTTGTTTTAGGCTAGATGGTGGTTCAAAGAGAAACCACAAGGCAGAGGGATTCAACTCCGATTTTAACACTCAGCTCCCTCAACATAAGCTCAAGGTGAAGCGGAGGTTGACACACAGAGCCAAACGCCTTTTGTTGATGAACCCAGTTTGGTCAGCATGTTGCAAGGGATTTATCTTCTAGTCGCTCAGTGGATTCCAGCCTTTTGGGCCCTATACCTCAAGCAGCAGCAAGAAGGCTTTTGCCCATGGCCACTGGGATTCTCATTTTGTTTTAGCCATCAAGATTCAGCAGTTCCAAAATTCCCCTTGTTAGGCTTCCATTTGCTTAAGAATATGTTTGTTTAATTGTAAACGCTTCGCGTTGCCCGCCTCGGCCCAGCCTAGTTTGAGGGAAGGGTCAGGAACACCGAAATCCAGTGTTGGGAAGGTCCGAATCCTACTGAAAGCTTGTGACCGCACCAGTTCGCCCGTGCTAGTTCGATGTTCGGAAGCCGTCCTGCTCGGACAGTCTCGGGCAGCTTGGCTGGTCCTTGCTTGCGTGGGTTGTTGGTTGCTGGGCAGCCGCACTGAGGGGGCTGGGCTATGGCTGGGCTGGGCCTGAGGCCAGTTTCAGACACGTCAGACAGGCCTGGCCAGCAGGCGGACTGGGCTGGGCTAGACGCTAGTTGAGCCCAGGCTGGCGAGGCCCAGTCTCGGCGCTAGATAGAGGGTGGGCTTGGGTGAGGTTTGCTTAGGCGGGTTGCTGGTTGGGCTGGGCCTGAAGCTAGTCTCAGTTGCTGGCTGCTGGGCAGCCGGACTACGCTGTTGGTTGCGCCTGGAACTTCGGCTGGGCGGGCTGGGCTGAGCTGTGCTTGGGTGGGTCGCTGGATGGGCAAGGCCTGTCTCATACACACTTGGGCCTGAGGCTGGGTAGCGAGTTGCTGGCTGGAGCAGGAGGTCAAGGCCTGGCCAGCCTGGGCTGAGCTGCTTGGGCAGCCGGACTGGGGGGCTGGGGCACGTCAGACAGGCTTAGTAGCTGACGTAGCTTGAGACCAGTCTCAGACACGTGGTCGTTGGCCAGTCTCAGACACGTTAGACAAACCTGACCTGGCACGCTGGGCTGAGCCTGCTGTCTCAGCCACGAGGCTGCGAAGCCATGGGTGGGTTGCTGGCTGCCGGGCAGCCGGACTACGCTGCTGGTTGCGCCTGGAACTTGGGCTGGGCTGGGCTGAGCTGCTTGGGCGGGTTGCTGGATGGGCAAGGCCTGTTTCATACACACTTGGGGCCTGAGCCTGGGTGGCGAGTTGCTGGCTGGGCTGGGCCTGAGGCCAGTCGCAGCCAGCAGGCGGGCTGAGGGACTGGGCCTGAGGCTAGTCTCAGGGCTGGGCCTGCTGGATGACTTGGGGCCAGACGCGAGCAGGAGGTCAAGGCCTGGCCAGCCTGGGCTGAGCTGCTTGGGCAGCCGGACTGAGGGGCTGGGGCACGTCAGACAGGCTTAGTAGCTGGCGTAGCTTGAGACCAGTCTCAGACATGTGAGACTGGTCGTTGGCCTGAGGCCAGTCTCAGACACGTTAGACAAACCTGACCTTGGCACGCTGGGCTGAGCCTCCTGGGGCCGGCCTAGTGGCTGGCATGCGCTGAGATGCGCCGGGGCCTGGGCTGGGCAGGCTGGGCTGAGGTGGGTTGCTGGTTGGGCTGGGCCTGAAGCTTTTTTTGAGCCACGAGGCTGCGAAGCCATGGGTGGCTTGCTGCCGGGCAGCCGGACTACGCTGCTGGTTGCGCCTGGAACTTGGGCTGGGCGGGCTGGGCTGAGCTGTGCTTGGGCGGGTTGCTGGATGGGCAAGGCCTGTTTCATACACACTTGGGCCTGCGCCGGGGCTGGGCAGGCTGGGCTGTGCTGGTTGGGCTAGCTTGGGCCTGAGGCTGGGGTGGGCTGGGCTGACAGGCCTGGCCAGCAGGCGGGTTGCTGGTTGGGCTGAGCCTAGTCTCGGACACGTCAGACAGGCCTGGCCAGCAGGAGGTCATGCTTCTCAGGACAAAAAAGCATTTTTTCTTTGGAGAAGAGATCTGAGCGCAAAGGGGCCGAGGCGAATTTTCCCCTTTTGGTTTTAAAGGGCATCTATCACTACTGAACACATTTTTGTTGTTTTCAGGGGGCTTAAGCAAATGGAGGTGGGTTTTCAGACTTGATACCTGTTGGCCAGACCAATCAATTTTTGCGGCGCACAGGGTTCAGCCGCGAATCCACGGCTGGGGAGATCCGAGGTCGCCTACTTTCGAGATCTCCTGCTGCAGGCCCCGGCCATTGCGGAGCCGCAGCTGGCGTGGCTCGGAGACATCCAAAGGAAACAGGGTCGTGGTTGATCACTCGGGTTTTTTCCAACCACTTCTGTGATACTGTGGATGGACGAAATCCTGCACCACCTAAGAAACCCTGGCATGATGATTCCCTGCAAATACCAACAAATCATGGTTTCCCTTGGTTTCAAAGCGGTGCAAGATTTCGTCCACCCACAGTACTTTTGGGAATCTCCCCTTCAACTGGGGGTTAGTCTTTGGGAAGGTTTTTCTGTTGCATCACAGAAGTGGATTCCATTTCCCGCAGCGCGAGGAAAGCTTCTTTGATCGGAGGAGTTCTTCGGGGTTCGAACGAACCTTTCCGGGAGCGACCGCTTGCGGATGTTCACATTGATCTGTTTCCATTCTGTTGGCCGGGACTCCTGACTAACAAGTTGGCTTTGACCCTTGAAATGCGGAAGTCCGGGAGCATGCATCCGGCACATTCCAAAGCTGAGCTCTTCCCTAGGTACGAACCGCTGGAAGATCTCCCGGCAGCTGAGTGTGCTTCTCAGTCAGCAGCGGAAGATGTGGAGGAGGAGGCCGCGGTCAAAGCGCGAGCTAAACGGTGGCAAAGGAGAACGGAGCCATGTGAAGCAGAGATGGAGGCTGGGTATTTCGCTCCCTTTGGGCGAATCGGCCTTTTCCGGGACCTGCTGGTTGTTGCCATGTCTTTGGCGAGGGCTACTGCAGATGCACGTTGAGCTTAACCACAAGAAGACTCCTTGCGGGGGTCACCCCGGCCTGGAACAGGCGGATCGCGCGCTTTTTTTGGCCCTTAAAGTGAGGTGGGTTGAGGAAGATACGCGGTTCTTTGTTGTAAAGATTGGCCGTGCCATGCTGTGCCGTTTGTTGAAGGCATACATCTATGTATATAATATATATGCTACTCAATGAGCAAAGAAGCTCTTGTGTTTTTCCGCACCATTGCAGTCCAACTTCCAGCCCGGGTGCGGCATAATATTATTCGGGTTGTCTTCTGTTGCTCGGATTCACCTCAGATCCCGAGCTTCAGCAGCGGGTTTTAATCACCCAACCAAGCCAAGCCTTACAGCCATCAGAAATCATGTGTTTCCGATTGCTTCCCAAAAAACCAGCAACAAGCTCAACAGTTTCAAGGGCAGCAACCAAACCCAGGTGTGTTTGGCTCCAAGCCTTTCCCGCAGATTGTTTGGCCTGATCTTCTCTCCCTTCGGCTTCCCGACGATGGATCCGCGGATGTGGCCGACGCCGTGGTGGCGTCCTTTGTCTCGGGGGCGTACCGCGAGATTATTGCGGCGCTGGTCACATGGCCAGACCTAAGTTTGGCTCTGGTGGCCTTTTTTAGGTAGAAATCTATGAGTTCCACAGGTTTAGATCTCAGGGTTCCCCACTTTTTGACTACCCCAAGATAGACTCAAACCCAGGGGTTCTCCTTTTGGGGGAATGACACTCATCTGGATTTAAGTAATTAGTCCAAAAGTGGAGACCTGGTTTACGACACTTTTATGCCACATGTACCAGGGCCATCTATTTTATCAAAAGGACACCTGCAAAGGGAAACTACACGGGGACGGACAATGCATCGTTTTTCAGGCCCCACCCCCTGGTTTAGCACCCATTTCCTCACTTTCCGAGTGTCTGGACTTTGTACTTTTTAATCGAAGACCATTGTCAATTGTTCTTGGCAAACAAAGGATTTAAACTTTGCTTGACCAACACACTCAGGAAATTAGTTGAGCACCTTCAAATATTATTTTGGACTTCCGCCAGGGGTTATATTTGGCATTTTCCTGTCGAAGTCTCCTGTTGTGCCTGAAAACCTTTCAAGGTTTCCGGCATGTGGCATGTGTTGTTTGTTTCGCTGTTGTTCCTTCCGAACGCCTTGTAGGGTTCCGTCATCTTGCCTTTCGGGTTTGATGTGATCTTTCCTTTTGACCAGTGACAAGTCTGGTGTTTGCAGGGGATCCAGGCGCAAAACTGCAGTTTCCAACATGCATTGCGTGGATTCGCATATTGTGCTCGTACCTGGGGCTTTGAGTCAAAACAAGGCAAGGAGCCATTCCTTTGGTCCCCACTCCACTTTGCGATTTGGCTTGGATGAGGTTGGTGGTGGTTCTATACACCATCATCCACTCTTGGGATATTGCAAAAGACATGGACATGACAGTTGGCCAGGAAAGTGACATTGGTTCCATGTTCATTTGCAAGGGGGTTCATAGTATGTAGGGGGTTAATATTGAGGGCATCTACCAGTACCCCATGTTTTTAAGACGAGGGCGCAAGCGAAGACCTCTTCGAGGTGGACATGCGGGAGGGAGCTTTGTGCGACGTCAGTTGCAGCCTCAGCCCGGATGGCCGTTGGGCGCCTGGCAGCATTGTGCGTTTTTCGAGTGCCAAGCGCTAGGACTCCAAGCCTCAAGTTCCTTTGCCCATATTTTTGTTGTTCGGCCTTAGTGTGCTCGGGACTTGTTTTTCAGGACCAGGAGCAGGGGGTGAGGTGATCGGACCAGGAAAATGGGGTGGCCGTGCACGCAACTCGGAAGCCACGGGTTTTGGCGTCAAGGAGTCAAGCAGCTTCAAGTTGTGTTGAAGGGAACCCGCTCTTTGTGGGTTGAACGGCAAGGGAAACCACGGCGCTCGTAAACCCGAACACCCGAACACCGGGAGGAACTCAGTGGTTTCAGGGGTAACATGGGCCAATGTGATTTGTTGAGTCTGCTCCCGTGGAGTCCCCGGCATTCCTGTTGGTGTCCCTGTAAACCAAACACCGGGGTACCCTGAAACAACACACACGCACAGACTCACTAGGTCCTCCAGTAGTGGTCTTTTACCCTTTTTTGGGGGAGGGTTCCCCTACTAAAATAGACTACAGAAAAAAGGGTACCCTTGTTCTAACCTCTCTACTGGAGGACCTAGCCCATGGTTTGCCCCATCTTGGACAGCCATGTGGTCAAGTCACCATCGGGTTTGGAGTTTCTGGCCCGGGTTCTTGGAGGTACCGGGAAGGTTTCGGTGAGGTTCCGCTGGATATAGTTGGTTGTTGGCGGTTCCCTTTTGTGGCGATCGCAATTCAGCACCTTTCAAGGCAACTTGGTGGGCCGCTTTTACGGGGAACTTCCAGAGGCATGGTCAAACATTCGCTGAGGGGCAACTCAGCAGAGCTGCATCTTACGGATTGCTTGACCAATCAGATGGCTGCCATTTGGGACCGTGCCGATTCGCATGTGAGTCGGTTCGGCAAAAGGAAGCCCAGTCGAAACGCCAGGTGGCCAGGGAACCAAGACCGGTGACAGCGATGCCTTCGAGTTATCATGGGAAACCGAAGGCAATTTGGACAAGCCCTCAAAATAGCCCACTTTCGGGGTACCAGAAGTTGCGAGGCGAGGGTTCCGAGTTACACTCCGCTTTCAAGTTATAGCCACTTCCAACTGCTTTCGAGGTGCTTTGCCGCGAGCTGGCCAAGAAATGCCTCGAGGAAGACGACGACGACGCCCTGGAGCGGTTTGAGTTGCTGATGGAGCACAGGCGCTGGGCAACTTGAAGCTCTGGGAGACTAGGCTTTCATAATGAAGATCCCGGGGTCCCGGTCCCGATCCCCAAAACTGGCTTTGTGAATTGTAGTTATTTTGTCCGAAGCCCGAGTTGCTTTCTTGTAGGTCTACGGAAATGTGGCTGACCCCAACATCAGGACCATGGGTATCTAATCCAGGCTAGCTCATGATTTTTATCCCCTCATGAGCCGGATGCTAGTGGTTCGTGCTTTATCCCTTTTTGACGCACCTCAGAGAAGAATTGCTGAACAATAAGGGGCGAAGATTAGTCACACAAAAAGGGTTGACTCAGGGCGGGTCCTTGCCTGCGTGATTGATGGCAAGACGTTTTGTGCGGATCCGGAGCTCCAGATGTAGCCACCGTTTTAACTAAATACATGAGCAAATGAAAGCCTGAGGTACGGAACACACGGATGGCCAGGCGTTCTGGGAACATTCCGAACTGTTCACCTCATCATGATACCCTCTACTTGGCTTAATTGAAGGGTAAACCGGGTGAACCACTCTTGTCGGTGCCCTTTGAGAAAAACAAGAACTGGTATTATTTCTGAAGGTGGGGTTTTCTGTTGTGTGGTTCCTGCAATGCAATAAGTATAGGCTACATAATATGACACATATAATTTTCCATGAATCACAATTTGCTTGAGTGTCAAAGTACTCCTCACCGAGATTGGGCCCGTATCGGTATGGTTTTGCCAGGTGTATACATACATATATGTATGCACACATGTGTGTTTATGTACGTAGGTGATTATTAATGTGTTGTTATTCATAAATTTAAGTTTGCTATTTTTTCATGGTTGTCTAATGTTTGTAATGTCATTATTGATTTCTTTACATGCACTGTATATACCTCATATGCGTATGTATGTGCACACACACAGAATAGCACGCTCATACTATGTGAGTTTTTGTTTGGCTTAATTGTTGTACATGTGCGATTGGGTTCTCGATGGGATCAATCGATCCGGAGGCTGCCAGGCTTTGTCGAGCTCGTCCACCGGGCGGTGCGCCGGCGCTGGAAACAGGAGCCAAGAAAGGTTTGGCCCGTGGGTTTTGCGCGGCTTCAGTTTCTTTTGGTCGTGATGCTTGTTGCGGAAAATCCATGACGCACCACTTTAAAACCATGGTCGAAACCATTGTTTGTTGGTATTTACAAGGGAATCATCATTCCATGGTTTCCTAGACGGTGCAGGATTTCGTCCAAAGCAGACAACGGTTTTGCTGATTGGAATCCCATAATTTGAGGAGTCCCTTTATTTCCTGAGTGGTACCTAGGGGTACTTGGGGGAAACCAAAAGGAAGCCATCCCACGTGTGACGTTCGATCTGAAGACACACCCACATGGTCCTCATATTTTGAGACATGCCCACCAAGAGCTTCCGGGAGGGTTTCCCTATAAGACACCGCTCGCTGTCTGAGGAGGTGCCGCCCTTGCCGTCCTGCGCAGTGCTGGTCTGTGGGCGGCTGCGCTGCCGCGACGGCGACGCACAGTGCAACGCGGTGCAGCGAGTGTTGCGGATCTGCGGCTCGGAAGCGGAAGTCGGGGAGCCCGAGCCATGGCTGTGTCACTTC